AAATGAAAAATACGGGTACTGTTTCTGTTACGGGAACTGCTCGCATGCCAGTACTGACTTATTTTTAACTGGTTCTGACAGCTGCATCTGTACTTATAAGTGCATGTATACAGTATAGATAGATCTACATACACTATCATGTATCAAAGTTTAAGTCAATGATTGAAAACTGACTAAAGCCCCTATCTTTCATGGTATTCTTGCCATTGTCATGAAAGGGTCTGCATGCACAAATCGCTTGTTTACACCCAGACCGTGCATGTCTAAATCCCAGATACAATGACTGATTGTAGAACGGTTAATGTTGTGCCGATAACAACACAGAATAGGTTAGTAATTTATACATAGTGATACCCACAGTTGCTGGAAATAAATAAATTTTGGATGGCCATTTCGGACACTCAAACAATAATTGCCAATTTTAACGGGATTGCGCTAATAACAGGAGAAATAACTTAATGAAGATGCATCTAATTACAGGTAAGGCAGATTATGACTGCTTCATAGAAAAGGCGCATTGTGTTTTTCAATGTGTCATTCGTGAAATTATTGCGTCAAAAACGCAAGAAACACAGAGTAGCAGAAACACTGCCTACCCCTTATTGATAATACATCCTATGTAAAATTTCCAAATAAACAGATTTTTTTTTCTGAGAAATTGTCAGTTTAGTTAGATTTTTCTATTTGCAAATATTACCTTTGGGTCCTTCTCGTAGTAATGCTGCTGGGTTCTTATCCATCTTCCTGTCAAATGGTCTCTCACAGTATGTGCTAAAGCGAAGTAGTAATCCCTTGGAGTAGCAACATTTCTATCCTTTACCAGGGTATAGTGAAGATGTCTGTTGAAAGTATGCTTGATGTTTGATACATTTTCAACTGGAGCAATTCCACGTATACTGATTTGCTTCCTTTTATCTATATCTGATTGCACAGACATTTTAAATGTTCATGCACTACCAAAAGAATAGATGCTCTGCTTTATTTATTTGATAAAACCCAAATTATTTCCTGCAACAAACCTCTGCCCTGCCTAGTAGTCCTTGAGTGAAGGTCAAGGTCACTTTCTCAGCTGTGCGATGAAAATAGAAGTAACCCGAAAATATATAGAGTAGCGGTATGACATATAATGATGCGTAAATAGGAAAAATTAGGCCGACATATACTGTACTGTAAATCTTACATATATCATATACGGTATACACTATCATTACAGCAGCCATTTTTAATACTTGGCAAAGTGAAACACTATCTTTTGCTCTGTTAGAATATTGATTTAGTATTTTATTTGGAAGTCAAAATACTTCTGTGTTTACATTTTGCTTGATTTACAACACGTTACAGCACAGTGCACAATAAAGCCTTTTTTCGCCCTTTTGTTAAACTTTTTTACATCCCTCAAAAATCTTTTAAATTAAAATATTTTTTGGGGAAAACACAGGGGACTGACTTTTTCCAAAAAATTTAAAATAAAAAATAAAAAATTATTTTTCCCACGGCCCTTTAAATTTTGTAAATTAAAGGGCCCGTTGTTTTTTCTGAAGCATACTTTTTTAATGTGCCTTTAATTGAAAATTGTATGGAAAATAAAAAAGAAAAATTACAGATTATATATATAAGACCATTTGTACAGTCTTCATTGTCAATGTTATACCACTGACACTATATATAAGAACAACAGATATTGGCTCAACCAAGATCTTTTGATTCATGATAACGTGATTAACGTGCAATATTTGTTTAAGATCCTGTAACACAATTTTTTATGGTTTTAAATCATAAATATGATGCTCAAATTAAGATTTATCAATATTGTAGGTTACAAAAAGCAATATTTATTAAGATGTTACCCAATTTAACATTTCATGTAAATAAAGGGAGGTAATAAAAAATGTCTGTAAAGTTTAAGTCAAATTTTACAATAAGAAATGAATGCAATATTTTAATTATTACTTATAATATGCACAAATGTTTGCAGTAAATATTTTACATATTCTTCGATGTTTGAAAATTGTTTTATTTGCATACATTGTAATTATGTACATATATATAATTTCACTTAGTGTGGTTTACCACTTTGATCACAGCATACTATATACAGGATCTTTAAAATGCAGCTAATTGAATCATAGTCTATGACAAAAATGCATTGGGTCATTTACAAAATATTGATGGGAAGCATGGCTTAGCGTAGCTATACAATATTGGCAATAATACTATGATATACTAAATACATTTTATTACAAACCCGTGCCTCTTCTGTGACTTAGTAAAGACGGTGGTGGCGCGACAGCTTAGTTGGTTAAACCACTGATTATCACTCCTGAGGTCCCGGGTTCGATCCTGGGTTACACCTTTAGGATTTTTCAGAGACACCTTCAGTATTTCCCACCTACGTAGAGGTGTACTGGTAAGAAATCCAGGTAATCCTCGCATGTATCAGTGCTATACACTGGGCATGTAAAAGAACCAAGGATTCAATAAGAGCTAGGGACTGGTTCCCGGATTCCCTTATATCTCATAGCTGTCTCTTTAATGTGTACAATGTATACCTGCTTAGAGTGATTGAAAACGATTTTAAAGCAGTATGATGTAGAAGTATGATGTAGAAGTAAGACCGTGCTTATATCTTGACGTACAATTATTAACGTTGTAAAAACATAGTGTATTTTAAATGCGCTGAATGTTAGCTTTCCATTTAAGGCACGTCATTAAAAATGTGATTTTTTTACTGTAACACTTCATATTTTGAATATGTGATAAAGTATTATTGTTGTTGTGACGCTTCATAACAAAATCTATGGAACTTATTGTTTAAAATAATATAATGTTTTGCCAGAGAAATTTATTCAATACTTTCAATAAATTCAGTTTTGAACCTACACTCATTCAATATCCTTTATAGATGGAAGTGCTATTATTTCAAAAGTATTTTTCTGTATTTCAAAGCTTCCATTTAGACAATTAAGCTTTAGAAATGGGTACATTTTTTGCTCCCAAGAAAAGACAAACATTATATTTTATAATATTTTAATTAAGACCATTTTCTATGCTTACTAATTTAAATAAGTAGTGCTGAATGCAAAATGATTCCTCATAAAAGTAGCAAATGTAAACAAAATAGTGGTTTGACTTCATACAAAAATCACTATAATTTCACTATTTGCCAAAATGCAAAAGAAGCAAAACATTGTTCAAAGACATGACTGTTGAGTATGATTGTCGTAAGTGTAACAGTACACTCCTAGGAACTGGCCTTTGAAAATGAAAGAGCCTAAAATGCTGTCATTTTATTTTTCAAAAGCCTTTTTCTCAATGTGCTTTTAAAGTTTCCAAAAAACTATTGATTGGCCACATGCTTGAGTTATCGTATGCTTCTTTTGCATTTTTTGATAATTTGTACACTTAGTCTCTAAGTATATTGTATGATAGGAAAAATACCACGTTGTCCACATTTATTTTACTTTTATCTTAGATTAGTTCTCATATATATGATTTTTTTAGGTGATTAATATCTTATTCTAACACTACCGGAATTTTTCTATATAAGCAAAGAAGGCCCGAAGCGTGCATTATTCTACAACAATACACTCGCCGTTCCTATCTCCCTGTGTATTTTCAAACCGACACATTAAGGGTGCCATTTTGTTTGAAGAATCTGATAAATAAAAAACAATTATTAGTCGAATTTTGTTGCGAAAACTATCTAGAATGAAAGAAAATGGTCTAAAGTTCTAAGAAAATGAATCCGAACACCAATATCTTTGTTTTTTGCTTAAAAAATATTGAGTGAAATAAATTAAACAAACAAAGTTTTATCAACGTTTTCAAAATTCGTTATTCTCAAAATATTTATACACACGGTAGATTTAACGACCGTTATTTTCAACACACAAGTGGAATAGCCTTTAAAGAACGTTTCTATTGGAAACTCTGAGGCGAAAACAAATTTAACCACCAAACATAAAGTCCAACTGTAAAATAATTATATTTTTTCTTGACGTGTTAGAATGGAAATAGATACTAATTCTTCGTGCATTATTGTATAATAATGTACGTTTTTCGTTCAAATGCTTTGTAATTAATCACTCAGGCCTATCGGCCTTCGTGATTATATTACTACGCATTTGAACTCAAACCTTGCATTAATCTACAACAATGCACTCAGAATTGATATCTATTTCCTAAATATAAATCCACATTTTCAGTATTTCTAAAACATACATGTTTACTTTTTCTACAGAAGATAAAAATATTCATTTCTGACACTTTATGTGTCTTTAAAAAACGGGCCTGAAATATATTCTTATAGCTGTGTTACGATTTAGAGTTTGAGAAACAATAGAAAAATAAAATTTGTGTTATCTAGTGCGTACTTGAAACAGGTCGTTTTCTTTAATCTGTGTTTTTCTACGTACTTAAAATTGTGTCAATCTATATCAAGAAAAATAATATATAATATTGAGTTGATGTTTAATACATGCACGGTTTTATTAGTTTGATAATCTAGTTCCCCGCGATGGTATTAAATGCTAAAGCATTTTAAGTATGACAATATTGCAGTTTAGCTATAACTTTACTTGAAGAAATATTTTGTTGTAAAAAATCTCACTTCTTCACAGGTATATAGAGTACAATGACTTTTATAGATCATTGAGTTCTTGTGTGCTGTTTTATGTTTCTGCTTATGTTGTATATGTTTTTATGAAACTATCTTAATTTGCTATTGTGTTTTATTATTTCCATTATCCTGGTTGTATTTATTAACTTAAGTATAATATGTATTTTTTTCTTAATTTTATCTATTAAATTACGTTAAATATGCATGTTCATATTCATTTACACATTATTTTAATGTAAAACAGTGCTTTTTTTTAGACATTAAGTCTGTGAAATTAAATAGAAAATGGCAAAGTGATCATCAATCTGTCATTTTACAGCTGCTTTAGCTTTTTTATGATTATTATGTAGGCCTGTAAATAATAGTTTTTTCGTGATTTATGAAGATTTCCTTCTTAATTAATATAACTCAGAAATAATACTGAGAAAAATTGAATTAAATTGAAATTTTTAAATTACTGGAGTCATTCTATTCACATTATTTATAGAAACGTTTCTATTTTAAAAGTATATATCATACTCTAGATTTATCTTTCTACTTTTATAATCTCTATAATCATAATGTAAACAATATGTTTCAATTTACTTATTATTTCTCTCTATATTTTTTTTCTTTCTTTTGTAACCATTGTTTGTTCTGACAATAAAAAGAAATGAAAACATAGATGTAATGTAATTTCCTTGTAAATACACCTAAAATGTTAAAACTGCTGATTTAAAATTTACTTATTCATTTTCACAAAAACGATACCAAAGTTTTTTCTTACAACAGCTAAACAATGGATGACCCCTGTCACTTGTTATGCAATTATCCAATAAACCATTTATGTTCCACCTTCACTGACCTGTCTGGTCATATGGTCTAGTGCACTAGAAGTGAACACGTTGTGCACTTCTAGTTCAGCTCTAGTGCTCTAGAAGTGCACAAGGGTGGGAAGTTTAGTGTGAACTCAACTGTACTTTTAAAGAGTATGTATCGACATCGCAATCGGATTACGTCAAGGGGAGATAATTTCCCCGATTATGTTCTCCTTGTTTATTGAAGATCTTGAGCTATACTTGCAAGATAGAGTAAACTGTGGGCTTACTTTAAATGAGTTATGTATCATATTATTACTATTCGCTGACGACATGGTTATTCTAGCAACAAATCCGTCTGATTTGCAATCGTCACTAAATAAATTATATGAGTATTGTACTACTTGGGGACTACAGGTAAATATAGATAAATCAAAATGTATGGTATTTAGAAAGCGGGGAGGCTTGAAAAATAGGGAAAAGTGGTTCTACGGTGAAAATGCATGTATTCTTGAAAATGTTAATGATTTTAACTATTTAGGTGTTACTTTTAACTATACAGGAAATTTTTCATTAAATACCCAAAATTTGTATGGTAAAGGTCTTAAAGCAATGAGTTCACTCATAACAAATTTAAAGAAACACGATACGTTGCCGAAAGTAGCCTTACAACTATTTGATTCGTTTGTTAAGTCTACAATAAACTATGGATGTGAAATATGGGGTTTTGTGAAATCAAAACAATTAGAAACTTTACATATTAAATTTTGTAAGATATTATTGGGAGTGAGACAGTCGTCATGTAATACTGCCGTTTACGGAGAGTTAGGGAGATATCCCTTGTACATAAATAGATATGTTAGTATAGTAAAATACTGGCTCAAATTATGCCATAGTGAAAATGTTATTATAAAGGCTATAGTTGAGTCGGACTTAATTGATTGTTTAAATGGTAAATCTAATTGGTTTACAAATGTAAAAACTCTATTGTCTAAATATGGATTTTTATATAAATGGAATGAAGTTACAAGCATTAGAAATGTAAACCTTCCTATTGATTATGCGTTTCTTAGTATGTTTAAGCAACGTTTGATAGACGAATTTACACAAGAATGGCGAACTAGTATCAACAATATGGAGGTTTTAAATTTGTATAAATATGTAAAAGATACATTAGAAATGGAACCATATTTAAACAATATCGCAGCTCGTAACTTACGGATCGGATTGACAAAGTTTGCGTATATCCGCACATAGTCTAAGAATCCAGACCGGCAGATATGGGAGAGATAGATTAGAGAGAAATCTTAGAGTATGTCAAATATGTAATGGAAGTGAAATAGAGGACGAGTTCCATTTTGTTTTTAATTGCCTGGCATGACTATAGTATATCAAGAACTTTTTAGAACAAAGCCAAGTATGTTTAAATTTACACAATTGTTGTCATCTAAAAACAAGTCAAATATTGTCATGTTAGCAAAATTTATACATGAAGCACTAGAAATACGTACGATTATTACGATCCAACAACTGATTTACATTTAATTGTTTGTAATATATCAATTGTTAATATGATGGTTGTTGATGACAAATATGTAAAAAATTCAAAGATTGTATAAAGCACATCCTAAATGCATTTTTCAGAAATATATAATTTATAACAAAGAAAATTGTATATATCAAAACTATGTGTATAAGAAAGTGAGCAAACGATGGATTAGAATGAGTATTTTAAAATAAAAAAAACATCAACAGAAAGTGAACCAATCGCTCATATCGAGCGAATTTTCAAAAATGCTACATTCATTGAAGAAAAAAGTAAAGTCAATGTTACTACGAAAAATGCATATTATATGATAGTAATCCAACGAGTGCTCAGTGTTTTAATTATATACTTTTATATGGCATTGTATTTTGTATATGAAACAAATAGAAACATATGGTATCTTTTTACATCAATCGAATTGTTGGTAGAATATTAAATGGCATGAAAAGCATAAAGCAAGCGAAAAAAATGTATTATTAATATGCTGATTTAAAATTAAATAATTTATAACGCAAAACATGTTATTATAAATTTTAGCGAAACGAATTGATACCATGACGTTTCTTATTACTTTTGATGATATATGACATGATATAAAACAAACATGGTTACATGTATAGTCCATCACCATAAATATTAGATCAATTTAATTTCTTATATTATTATATCCTAATCCTTTTAGTATACATAATTGATATTTGTCACAATTGTATGTTCTATGTACACCTATATGTTAATTTGTAAAATGTAGTGGCTAGCCACTAGAAACTGTAAAGTTTATGTGAAATAAATTTGTTCGTTCGTTCGTTCGTATATTTGTAATTAAAAAGAAAACTTAGTATAAGACAAATCAATACTATACTGTATAGTAATTGTATACTTACATGTACATATGATGTTTCATAGTTAAATTTCGTTGAAAAATTTAGGTTATCAGACAATATTTCAGTTCATTTTAACAAATCAAGCTTTAAATAATTCTTAAACATCTTTATTTGATCTTTGATCTCATTATCATTATTATTAATATATAATAATAATAATAATAATAATAATAATAATAATAATAATAATAATAATATTAATATTAATTATTAATATTAATATTAATATTAATTATTATTATTATTATCATTATTATCATTATTAATTATTATTATTATTATTATTATTATTATTATTATTATTATTATTATTATTATTATTATTATTATTATTATTTACACTTTTGTATAAAAAAAAAATAGTCTATACATCTTTTTGCTAGAAAGTACATCTTTTTGCCAAAAATCTACTTGTTGGCTCAATCCACAAAATGGCAGCCTCCGACAAAAATTCACGTGGAAATAAATTAACAATCGATTTCATAAAAGACCTTGGAGGACTCGAGGTATTGCTATCTTTGAAAACTCAACATTTATTATAGTTTTGATTAAGACCAGCATTTCTATGTTATTTTTGTTAATTAAACTGTCATCAAGGAAAGCATAATAGGTAGTATTTCGGATATGTCCATAGTCCGGATAACGTTTTTAATTTCATCAACATATTTTGTATAATATGTCCTAAACCACAATTTTTTTCAAATAGTTAAGAATGGGATACATGGTCACAATGTGTACAAACAAAATGTAAGTTACGCATGGTTACAAAAGTAGGAAATGTATACATCAACTAAAATATTTTATTTTCATAAGAAATAGAATACACCGTTAACACTTTTAGAACTAGCAGACGACAGGCTTTTCATATCAGTGGTATTTAGAGTAAAGATAACGGGTTGCATATCTCACTGTATAAATCGTATGTAAAATGGTCTGACATATGGTAGGTTTAACAGTTATTTAAAACACTTTGAAGTCCAAAGATGTGTTGAATTTTATACTGTGACGAAGCTAAGATCCAAAGCTTTCTATTGGTGTAATACATTTTAAAATTGGACATTTAATCACAACAAACTAGCAGTTTAAAAACAGGTTATTTTGTATAGTTTTAGCATAAGCGATATCGATTTTACTCGAAGATAAGGGAAGCAACTCGTATTTTTTCACTCGATACACCTCGGTTATTTACGTAAATCATATTGAAAGTGTTTATGGGTGTATTAATTATAAGCTCGACTATTTGATAAAAATAAGTAAAGCTATCCTAAAGCAGGCCCGTCGTCGCGATTTTGTGAATGGTGCAGCCAATTTGGATGGTTTTAGCCAGAATCTAGGGGGGTACGGGGGCATGCTGCCCCGGAAATTTTTTTATTCTAGGATGCTCTCAGGGCCGTTTTCCCGTATATTTAGCCCAGTTTACAGCCTGCCGCTAGTACATGTTATAGTAATATGTCAACGATTTTTTACAGATTTAAGTGCGTTGTAATTTTTAAGGGTGAAATTTAAGGTTCGCATAACGGACGGATAGGTGTACTTAAAAGATGAATACATGTAGTTGATATTTGGCAAATGAAAAATAAGCAATAACTGGTGTTGATATAATTCTAATTACATGTGTAGGCAATTACAGGTAAGTTGAGTGAATCTGTCCTGTACTTATGAATATGTAACACCATTAGATTGTTCAAACGTCCTTGAGACATTGTCGGTCTCAGGTATGTCTTTATTCTTCTGAGCGCCGAGAATGTCCTTTCACTGGTAGCATTAGTAGCAGGCATTACTAACAAAATATTTATCAACACAACCCTCAGTGAGCAGTGCTCGTTCTAGCACCGACTGTTCTGAACGTCACGTAGAGTAACAGTACTATTTTCGGATTTGTCAAAATGTGAACGTAGCAGCTGAAGCTGCACCACTAAGATGTCTCGGTTAATATCGTTACCATAGAAATAACAAACAAAACCAAGTTCTCTAGTGTACTCGGTCTTCAATTAAGATAACTTCACACTTGACTTTGTAGGACCCCTACATATACCTGGCCAATTAACAGTGTCCAGTTGTTTCTTCGCGTCATGTTTGTATATTACCGCGCATTGCATAATGGGCCATTTAAGTGTCAAATTGATAATCAGTGATGCGTGTTTTTTTTAACTCATTTTTGGCCAAAATATTGGTCCGGCCTTGGCCGGATTGGCCGGACCATCGACGACGGCCTTGTAAAGTTTGTTTACCTCCTCAGATATTTTCATATTTCATTGACATCTTGCTATGAAACAAGTTGAAATTTTATACACTTCTTTGTGAGAATAATAGGACTCATAACATGGATTTGGAGAAAAAAATGGCCCTTTTGTGAATTTTACATTATAAAGGCTCTTTTACTATCAAGCATTTAGAATAGTCCAGTTGTGCTGTCCTACCGATAGCTCTTGTTATGTACTGACAATTAAGAGGAGCACAGTATACCTTTTTATTAACATTCACAGTGATTTTTTGGTGTCAATAGACAGACCATTAAATTTCCCTTTCAAATTTATTAAAAGATATTTCCTTTTGTAGGATCTCTTGAGTTGCACTATCTTTAAGCTTTATTATTGTGTTTTATAATTAAGTTAATGTCAGGATTGGATAGCATAATCTACAGTCATGTTTCTATCTCTTAGTAATATCAAAACCCCTTCTATCTATCTTCTGTTAATGTCAAACCCCTCCTGAGGAAGTACACATGTCTGCACCTCAAAAATCCCTTATGAAGACATTGACTTGTTTGTGTATCAAAAATGACACATTTACTTGCTGTTTTATTCAAGCATGAATTTGGAAAGATGACCATGTTAATTAGTTTTTCTTCTGAAAACAGGATGACTTGAAGCTTTTAGATGATGTGAACGACAACAGCGATTCTGAAGTAGAAAACTCTGAGGAGGATCTTGATGCTGAACCTATAAAAAAGGATGAGGTAAAGAGATTTTTTTTGTACTTATTAACAGTGTTTCTGCCAAACTAGATTTTCTGGGGGTCATTTGTGACCCTCTGTATAAAAATATGGGGGTCATTTGAAATTATGAAGGGTCAAATTTAAAAAAAAGTAAAAACTACAAAAGTTAATCAGAACTGTTTGATTTCACATTGTTAACTTCAATTTCTTACTTTTTGCAATTGCAAACAAAAAATCTTCTATTTAAAGGAAGAACCAACTTTATTTGCTTATTTGCATTGAAACATTTAACCTGTCAGACATCTGTTTATAGCAGAAACTTTGATATTTTGGCCACGAAAGCCCCTATCTTTTATGGTGTGTTTACCATTGTCAAAAAAGCTTCTGCATGCACAAATCACTTGTTTACACAGACCGTTCATGTCTAAATCCCAGATACTGTGACTGATTGTAGAACGGTTGAAAGTCTGACAGAAAATGTGCTGAGAACGACACAAAATGGGGTAGTAGTTTATACATACACCCAGTAACCAGAAATAAATACATTTCGGATACTCAAACATTAATTGCCAATTTAAAAAAAACATCCAATTAAGGTAGATTATGACTGCGTCACAGAAAACGCGCATTGCAAATTTCAATGCGTCATGCATGAAATTGTGTCAAAAACGCAAGAAACGCAGAGTAGTGGAAGCACTGTATTAATTAACTATATCAAATACCCATATTAATTTTATTTGAAACAAAATAGTTAAAATGTAAAGCGCAGTTATTAAGTTGCTTTTTGCTTGAATTAACTCAAAGTTGAACAGTAGAATAATTGTGTATGTGTGATCTACTTTCAGATCAGAGATTTTATTAAGAAGTTGGAGATTTATAAGCACAGGCCTGATACAAAAGGGTAAGATCCATAAATTTCTGAAGTACATGTATATAAGTTAACAAATTTCTGAAGTACATGTACATATTGAAATGCTGTTACAGACTGTATTTGGATATATATATATCTACAAGTTTAAATCAATAGAGAGAGTATCAGGTTAGTAATCCAGGGATGGCTGGTCCAATCCTCCGACAAGATATAATTTCTCTGTTACAATTGATCTCAGACATTCAGTTTTAATGGTCATTTGTCTCTCACTGCAGATTTAAAAAATCATGTGGGATTAGTAGTTGGTCAATTGTGGAGAAATTAGTAATTACTGGTTAGTTATCCAGGAAATCCTGTTAGTTGGATCATCAAGATATGATCAAAATGTGTTAAGATAGGTGTAAAAACATGAAATACAAACAAAACAAATGATTGCTCATTACCATTGTGATTTCAAATCTCTCAAAGACATTTAATAATAATTGTATGATGTTGTTATGAATTTACATGTATGTACAACATGTACTATATAATATAGTTCTCATGAAATTGGTTTTGATAAAGTTGAGAATTATTTATTTGCTGTACAGGGAAGAAAAGGAGCCAAAACAAAAGAAATTATTGGTAGCAAAACCCAGTGAAAATTCAGCTGAAAATGAGGAACCATCTACCTCAAAGGTCCCAGAAGAAAGTCAAAAGAAGAAAAAAGAAAAGAACAAATACAAGGTAAAATTCATGGAAACCAGGCTTTATCTTCATAACTATTATTGTTCACCATAGTTGAATTTACTGAAATTAAGTCTGACATTGTCTAATCATATTAGCTTAGCAGGTAGATTCATATAGAATGTTTTTACATGATAATTAAATTTGGTTATTGCTGATTGAAGAAATGTATGTTCAGATTTTGTCAGTCACTTGCAAGAAATAAGTAGTGCTATTTCTTACATGTACCTCAGTCTGCCCTTCAAGTTTGAATATTGCCAGGGACTTTGAGTTTTTTTTATCCCCCGCCGATGGAATCGGGAGGGGGATATAGTTTTGGCGTTGTCCATCCGTCCGTCCGAATTTCGTTTCCGGAGTAGTTCTCTGCAACTACTGGCTGGAATTCAACGAAACTTTATGGGAATCATCAATATCAAGAGGAGATGCGCATCTGTCCGTCCGTTCGTCCGTCCAAATTTCGTTTCCGGAGTAGTTCTCTGCAACTACTGGCTGGAATTCAACGAAACTTTATGGTAATCATCAATATCAAGAGGAGATGCGCATATCGTCGGCTTGTTCCGGTCAGACACTTTAACTCAGAGTGATTGCCCTTGATTAGTTATGTAGTATGCATATAGAGTAAAAATCGTTTTTCGCACTACTTCTCTGCAACTACTGGCTGGAATTCAACGAAACTTTATGGGAATCATCAATACCAAGAGGAGATGCGCATATCATCGGCTTGTTCCGGTCAGACACTTTAACTTAGAGTTATGGCCCTTGATTAGTTATGCAGTATGCATATGGAGTAAAAATCGTTTCCGCGGGGTCAGACACTTTAACTCAGAGTTATGGCCCTTGATTAGTTATGCAATATGCATATGGAGTAAAAATCATTTCCGGAGTAGTTCTCTGCAACTACTGGCTGGAATTCAACGAAACTTTATGGAAATCATCAATATCAAGAGGAGATGCGCATATCGTCGGCTTGTTCCGGTCAGACCCTTTAACTCAGAGTTATGGCCCTTGATTAGTTATGTAGTATGCATGTAGAGTAAAAATCGTTTCCGCACTACTTCTCTGCAACTACTGGCTGGAATTCAACAAAACTTTATGGGAACCTTCAATACCAAGAGGAGATGCGCATATCATCGGCTTGTTCCGGTCAGACACTTTAACTCAGAGTTATGGCCCTTGATTAGTTATGCAGTATCCATATAGAAAAATATTTGTTTCCTCGCTACTTCTCTGCTACCACTGGCTGGAATTCAATGAAACTTTATGGGATACTAAGAGGAGATGTGCATATAGTCGCCTTGTTCCAGTCAGATACTTATAACTCAGATTTATGGCCCTTGATTAGTTTTGTAGTATGCATACATCTCATTGGCATTTCCAGATTTTACTATTTAACACAAAGTTATGGCTCTGTTATTTCCCTGAATATTTATCAGGTTCAAAGAATATTACTGTTTATGACATGATTAATATATAAATAAAGCCTTATGTCTTCAGTTGTTGTGTTAATAATAACCAGTACTCGTCGGGGGATATAAATTCAACGAATTTGCTTGTTTTATATAAGCAGACTGTCCAGCTAGTTTAAAGAATGCCCTACTTGGGTGATGACTACTTATAAAGAGGGGTATCTCAGGTTACCTTCAACCAGGAAAGCTAGAAAGTCACCTTTACAGCATTGTGTAATTAAAATCAACACAGACAAACAAAAATTATCTATTAAAAATCTATTATGAACATGAAAAAATCTGTATTATGTAGATAAATTATGTGACACTATTATAGGTACAGCATGATGAAGTTTCCAGTACAACGAAAGACCCAACAGCAGAATATAAATTACATATGAAGGCGTATCAGAAGAGAAAATATCTCATCATCAAAGCTGGAGAATATTTTGATAATCAGGTAAAAATTTCTCAATTATTGTTATATTGTCATGTTGTCTACTCTGACACTATTTAACAAGGACTTATGATTGTCACTGTAAAAGAATAAGCTTCCACATGTATATTCGGCACATTATATTATTGGCATATCTTTTTCATATAGGTAACTGATACAATTCATAAAGGAGAAACAAACCACAGTTTTGCAAAGATACAGTGAAGACTTAAGTTAAAGGCCCTTCAAATTCCAAAAATGCTATTATTTTTATTTCTGAAAATCATTTTATTTTTGGTGTTCTGTTACCGTCAATTGGCCATATAGCTAAACCATCTTTTGGGTTTTTTTTGGTCAAACGTTATGTTAATTTATTATTTTGTTTGAATGTCAAAAGACCTCTTTGTTCACAATTTCAACTAACATCGTGTATTTGACGAATTATTTCAAATCAAACTACTTTCTTCAGTTGATAAAAATACTCTTAATTTGTTACTAAAATATTATACAATACAGGGCTATCTTCCTCCAGAGGAATAATTGTATTCAATTTTTGAGGCTTAATGTGCTTTTAAAATGATAACATGCATAAAAACATGCATATATCATTGGGCGTAATTAATAAATTTTTCATTTCCCCAACAACTTTTATAATAACCATGATACAATAACAACTTGATGTATATTAGAGGAACTAAAAATTGTAATATCAAAATTCACTAAGTATATACAAATGTATCTGTTTTGTTTCACTTTCAGGCAGATGTTGATGTTGGTAATGAAAAGTTTAATGATAACATGGTCAAACAGATGGAAGAATTTGCTTCCAAACTACTCAATGATGAAATCTTGGTCTATAATAAACGTAAGATATGTTGGTTTCACAATCAAAATTTTTTAGCTCCAATTACATTTGTTGACATGAACAAGTACTTTTTTGAAAGACTTGAAATAACCTGTAACAGGATAGTTAGATAAAATTTAAGTAATCTAAGTTTTATGGATTTTATGTTTGATTGGGTTTTACATCACACCGACACAGTATAGGTCATATTGCGACATTCCAGCTTTGCTGGTGGAGGACAACCTCAGATGCCCTTCTGTGCATTATTTCAGGCACGAATGGGCTGCACCTGAGTAGCCCCACCAACATTCTGTAAGCTAGCTGGAAAGCTTCATCAGATGAAAGGTCGGGCTTTGAACCCACAGTAGTGAGGAGCAAATGGTTTGAAGTCAACGACCTTAACCACTTGGCCAAGATGCAGGAACATCCATTGAGATACATGATTGAACATCCATAAAGCTATCTAGAATTTTATAGAAATTTATGATTGACTAAGTCTTTATACCAAGTTATTGGACTCTAATATTTCATAAGTTAAATTTCGTAAAATCTTTGTAAGTTTGAGTGTTGTATCTTTTGACTGAAATTCAGTACAATGTACAAATAGAGGCAATTTTGAAAAAAGAAGCTGGATTATTTCTTTGATGGAAGGAGAAGTTGTGGGCATAAAGATCAGGTGTCTGCCTCTTAACCCATGGATCATGGGTTCAAGCCCTACTTTGGTCACGACCATGTTTCTTCATATGTCACCAGTACTGGCTGGTTCCAGGAAGCAGACTGTAAAGTGATTAATATAAGTTGCAAGAACTTGTTTTGCAACCAAGTTTAAATAAATATGTTTAAAGCAGGAAGTAACTCATAATATTTTGATATATCTAGAACGTGAGAGTACAAAAAAGTCTGATGTAAGATGGATGAAGACTGTTCTAAGTTCCGGAACTCTTGCTGATAAGATTGCGGCCCTAACGGTGTTGATTCAAGAATCACCTGTTCATAACCTCTCCCATCTAGACACTCTTATCACAATGGCGAAGAAAAAAGGCAGGAGAGAAAACATACAAGCTATAGGTGACACAATTTTCTGTCTTTGCTTATAAAACATTTTAACAAGTTATAGATAGATTTTCTTGAAAGACAACCAGTTTATTTTCCTTGTAGACAAATACTGTACATAGTAACTGAGCTGTCTATGAATTCTTTTTTCATTTAACATGTTTTAGTAGTTAGGGTTGACTTATACTTTGAAGTGTATTGAAATATGGTTAGTATAATTAGAAAGCACTCAAAGATTTACCACCATATTGAAGAAGTCTTATGACAAAACATTATATTTGTTTTTCAAGACGATGGAATTGTTATATGTTTATATGTAAAATATAATTACTACTTCCAGATGCATTAAGGGAAATTTTTAAGACTGATATGATCCCAGAAGATAGAAAGTTACGAGTATTTGCTCAGGTAATAAACTTAATTTAAAGTATTCTATAGCTGTCTTTTTAACCATTACTACTTTAAATATCTTAAATGAACTTGTCCAACTTTGAATGTGGATTAAACAAATCGTTTTTAGGGAAAATTTCAAAAATATATACTGACTGAGAAGTGACAGTGCAGACCATAATCAGACAGCTGGGATGTGCAGGCTGATCTTTGTTTGCACTAATTACATGGGTAGAATCTGTTGCTGCCAGCAGGCTCAGAATTTAGAGATTACCATAAAGTGAATAATAATATCAAATATAGAAAATAGTTACAAAAAGACGTTGATCATTTTTGATTAGAGAGAATATTGCTATTGTTATTGTATAAATTCTTTGAATTCCTGAGATCCAAAATATATTATTCAATGTTCTACTTGAGTGCCTTTTGCATGAAGTAATGGACATAATGAGTTTTAGAAGGCTCATTTTATTTTACCATATTGAGCAATACTGGAAAATTATACATGTATTACAGCTTGTATAAAGGGTGGATCAAAAACCAAACCTAAAAAGTTCATAGTGTTTCATATATAAACAATTTGAAATATTTTTTTTTGATAAGTTATGATATCTTCTCTAGAAAATGTTGTTTTGTTTTCTGTTTTTTGTTGCTGTTTTTAAATAAATTATGACCTATTTTCTTTATGCCCTGAATGTACATGTCTATTTTTCCAAACAAATTTTTGAAATAACAATTTTAAACTTATTAGCTCGACTTTTCTATGAAAAGGGGAGCTATCCTACTCGCCCCGGCGTCGGCGTCGGCGTTAGCGTTAGCGTTAGCGTTGGCGTCACACCTTGGTTAAGTTTTTCGTACCACCCCACTTTATTTCAGAAGTATTACAAGTATGGCTTTGAAACTTACCATACTTGTTCACCATCATAACCTCCATCTACAGACAAGAGTACATAACTCTGTCAAGGTTTTTGACAGAATTATGGCCCTTTTTTGACTTAGAAAGTGTATTGAGCTTGGTTAAGTTTTTTGTACCACCTCACTTTATTTCAAAACCATTGGAGGTATTGCTTTGAAACTGACCATACTTGTTTACCATCACGACCTTCATCAACAGACAAGAGGACATAACTCTGTCAAGGTTTTTGACAGAATTATGCCCCTTTTTGACTTAGAAAATACATTGAATATGGGTAAAATCCACTTATTGCCTTAACCCTTTGAGATATTGCTTTGAAACTTTTATTGCTATTTCACATCATTACCCCCATCTGTACGCAAGAGAAGGTAACTCTGTCAAGGATTTGTTTTAAAAATTAAGGCCTTTTATCGACTTAGAATCTTGGTTAAGTTTTTAGTACCAGTCCACTTTTTGACTGAACTGTTTGAGATATTAATTTGAAAGTTGGAATACTTGTTTACCATCATGGTCCCAAAACATGGGCAGGAGAAGGTAATTCTGTTAAGGATTTTATTTGAATTATGGCCCTTTTTGACTTAGAAACTCAGTTAAGATTTTCATTCTTGTCCACTTGTTGACTTAACCATTTGAGATATTACTTTGGAAGTTGGAGTTCTTATGTGCCATCATGAGACCTATCTGTAAGCAAGAGAAGATAACTCTGTGAAAATGTTTCTTGATTTGTACTTAGAAATTCCTAGTTAAAGTCTTGTGTGCCCTTAACTGTCAAAGTTTTGTTTTATAGGCAAGCACTAAAAAAGTCGAGCGCGCTGTCCTTCTGACAGCTCTTGTTTTGATATACTTGTAGCATGGGTTTGTTAAGTTAGGTCCAACAACAGGTTGGAATAAAGAAGTTATGGATAGAAAATTGATGCAGTGGATCTTTGAAGCTCAGCTGAAAACAAAATATGCTGATTTTGTTAAAATTCTTGAGGTAATTATATGTTTGATATCATTTCTGATATAGTTTTAACCAAAAGAATTGGTTGTTTTAACATAATGAATTGGTCGTTTTAACTTAATGAATTGGTTGTTTTAACTTAAAGAATTGATTGCTTTTACTTAATATAATTATAGAATAAAAAATTAATGTAGACACTTTGTGCTGTAGGGAATGGCACATGATACAGTTCTCAGTACAAAACAGAAAGCTGTCAGTGAGTATTTCCTTGTTTGTTCAATTAAAATAAAGCATATGGTGCTATAGTACTTTGGTTTATAGTGCCCTAAAACTGTAGCACAGTTACAAGTTATCTATGTTTTGAAAGTCAAATCTTTCCTTTAATCACGTTTTTGTGATTTGAAGTTGAAAACATTGTTTATTGTAACTGTTACTGTATATATAAAATGTATTTCTTTATTTCAAATACATTTACACATTTTATGTAATGATTTTCTAGATTCTGTACATTATAAAACAAAAGTTTATTACATTTGTTGTCATTCATACAGATTCACATTAAAATTGACACAAAAATGTAATGCAACTCATACTTACATTATATCCCATTTTTAGACTTGCTTTACCCATAACATGCTATATATCTTAAATGGACTTGTCCATTCTTCAATTTGGACAAAACCATTTCTCATTTCTAGGGGGCAACTCAAAATCATTTATAGTAAATAGGAAACAGTGCAGACCACGATCAGTTGGCACAGATGTGCTAATCTTTTCGTCTGTACTTGTCATATTGGTATGTTCAGTTGTGTGGGTTAATATATAAGTTTGTTTGTTATCACAGCTCTTTTAATATCATATATGTACAGATATTATTTCTTTAATATTTCAGACATCATCTACAACATGCTTGTCAGTAAACCAGAACAGGAAAAGGTAAATAATGTAGAAAATGTATATTTTACATTTATTAAAAATAAAAGGTCAGTGTTACTTTAGTGTGAAGAGTATGTTATGAATGTTTCTAATAAATGTAGCACTAAAATAATGCATATTTGAAAATATATTTAAAAAAAAACTCAAAAAAAAACAAAAAAAAACAACAACATTAATATGAAGAAGAAAAAAAAGAAATGAATTGTAAATTTGACTTTGGAGTATTAAGGTTCATTTGCATATTTATCTATGAGTTAGCAATGTTTTTCTACCTAAGTCAAATTTAAGTTAATAAGGGCCAAGTTTGTAACTAGTAATTGTTTTGTACATGCACAATTCATGCTGATTCACTGTAGTGAATAAATAAGACCAAAATATTTAAAATTAAAAAATTTTTTTTTGTATATTTGATAGGTGTTGTTGACATTACTTATTAACAAAGTTGGTGATCCACATTATAAACTAGCAGCTACAGTCTCACATCTCCTCACCAAACTTGGTATGTATATTTCAAAATCATTATACATATAAGGTGGCATGATAGCCCAGTTGGTTAGACCACTGACTGTCACTCCTGAGGTTCCGGGTTTGATCCCGGGTAACACCCTTGGGAATTTTTAGAAACACTTTCAGTGTTTCCTACCTAACTAGAGGTTTACTGGTACGAAACTCAGGTAATCCTGGCATGTATCAGTGCTATACACTGGGCATGTAAAAGAACTAGGGAATCTATTCAATAAGAGCTAGGGACTTGTTCCCGGATTCCCTTGTATCTCATAGCTGTCTCTAGAGTCTGCTAAGGTAAGGACCCTGCTGGAAATAAGTGCTTGCACTTTCGTAGGTTATCCTTGATTGCCCGGTCTAAAGAAAATCAATCAATCAATCATACTTAAATACACTGTGTAGTCTTAAAGCTTTATACATGTTTTATTAAAGGGGCATTTGTTTGTAGGAATCAATTCTCACACCAATAGAAAAAATGTAGATGAGTGCAAAGTGAGAATTCTAGTCAGCTTATCCATACCACAGAGCTATATTTAAAAGTCTGTCCACGCTTACACAAAACAAGTGCTACACAAATAATACTAAGCAGTATTACAGTTAAGTGTAACAGTTAAATTTTGTCATATTGGATTACCTTAATAAGTGATAAATTGTTTCAAATAAGAACAAAGATCATCCTACATTAACTTGAAGTTAAGGTTAAATCAAACATTGTATTTGTTGTGTTATATTTCAGTGGAGCAACATCCCAACATGAAAGTTGTGGTTGTTAGGGAGGTGGAAAGACTGTTATTCAGACCAAATATTGCTGACAGGGCACAGTATGTACTAGTAGATTCATTGATAATTGTAGTGGATTAATTTATGAATTTTTGTTATTTTCCGTCTCGGAGATTTTCTATTTTTATATGCCCAAAAGAATTTCTTGCATATTATATTATACCCCCTGGTGTCCGTCTGTCCTTCCGTCCGTCAGCAAGTTGGTTTTAGGAGCATAACTTAAGTTTCATTAGGCCCACAATATTCAAACTTCATAGGATGATTGTCCATATTGGGGAGAAGACCCCTATTGATTTTTGGGGTCACAAGGTCAAAGATCAAGGTCACTATTACCTTAAAACTGAAAACAGTTTCTGGAGCATAGCTTAAGTTCCGTTTGGCCCACAGTGTTCAAACTTCATAGGATGATTGTCCATATTGGGTAGAAGACCCCTATTGATTTTTGGGTCACAAGGTCAAAGGTCAAGGTCACTATTACCTTAAAACTGAAAATGGTTTCCGGAGCATAACTTAAGTTCCATTTGACCCAAAGTGTTCAAACTTCATAGGATGATTGTCCATATTGGGAAGAACACCCCTATTGATTTTGGGGTCACAAGGTCAAAGGTCACTGTTACTTTAAACTGAAAACAGTTTCCGGGGCATAACTTTAGTTCCATTTGGCCCACAGTGTTCAAACTTCATAGGGTAATTGTCCATATTGGGTAGAAGAACCCTATTGATTTTGGGGTCACAAGATCAAAGGTCATGGTTACTATTACTTTAAAACTGAAAACAGTTTCCGGAACATAACTTCACGGTGTTTAAACTTCATAAGATGATTGTCCATATTGGGTAGAACACCCCTATTGAATTTAGGGTCAAAGGTCAAGGTCACTATTACCTTAAAACTGAAAACAGTTTCAGGAGCGTAACTTAAGTTCCATTTGGCCCACAATATTCTAACTTCATAGGAGAATTGCTATTTGAAGGAGGTAATACTTTATTTAATTCCCATGTCTTACAAATGCTCCATCCTTACTTAAAAAAAAATCACTTTCGTCATTCATTTTATGGTATTATTCCTGAAATTCTTTTGATATTTCTACATACTTTAATGCTTTAAAGATCCTGTATGCTGTGATCTAAGTGGTAAACCACACTAAGTGAAATTATATATATGTACATAATAATGCAAACAAAATAGTTTTCAAACATCGAAGAATATGTAAAATATGCACTGCAAATATTTGTGTATATTATATGTAATCATTAAAAGATATGCACATTTGCCAAAAAGATCACATGCATTGTAAAATGGTGTAAATTGACTTCACGGTGCTGTATTCAATGTTATATCCGGTTTTACTGTATAGCAGCTTTGACCCTGTAACATTTGTTTTGTTTTGACAGATATTATTCTGTGTGTTTCTTGAATCAGCTTAAACTGAGTCATGATGATAAAGAATTAGCTGGCAAACTGATAGAAATCTACCTGACCTTCTTCAAGGTAATTTATCAATTCAGTTAAAATGAATAAATCATCTTTTGATGGTAATATATGTACAATGTATATAGAAAATGTAATCTTTTAAATAATTGATTTACTGGAAGTGATTTAGATAAAAATTTAACTAATTAAATCAGGCCTTTCAATTATAAGTTTATCAAGTTTTCTATAATGTAACAGGTTTTTCCAATAAACGCTTGTTTCAAGTGTTTAAAGATTTGAAAACTTTTATGGTATGATTCTGAAAAAGCCATTTGATATGTCCGCAATTTTGATGATCTGATTAATGCTTTCAAGGGATCATTCTTCTACCAGGTTTTTGAATTCATCTGATAATATCTAGGAAAAGTATTTATTTTCTGTGAATAAAGATATAAAGATGTTTTTATTTTTTTCAGGCTTTTGTGAAAAAAGGTGAAGTGGACAGTAAAATGATGAGTGGTCTATTGTCTGGTGTAAACAGAGCTTTCCCATATGCAAAATGTAAGTTGTAATGATGTAATTCATACACACTGAATCAGCTTTAATGAATAAATAACCCTTATTTTACAGCCAAATAAAGGCTGTTTCCCCTTGCCTAAATAGGTATATTTTCCCCTGAAATTCTGGTGCAACTTCTTCACAAGGCACATAACAGCAGCTGACTTATCAGCTAGTTGGTAAATTTGATTGACTGACAGACATATATGTCCCTGTTGAGAGCCTCTGCTATGGATCATTCATGTTAAATTGAAAATTTAATAAAAATGTTTAGATAAATTCATTCATAGTTGTTGGAATTTTATATTTCAAGTTCTCCCCTCTTTTCTGATTATTGTGCTTCAGAAAGGTTGTTTTGAAAATTGAAAAGAAAAAAATCACAGCTTGTTTCCTGTATCATATTGTTAATGTTGTTTTGTGAACAAAAATATTTGGATAACAGATCAATATCGTTATTTACATTCTTGTCCATTGAACTGTATTATTTATGAGTTTGTTGATGTCTTACAGTGGATGAGAAATTTCTTGGAGACAAGTTAGAACATCTGTATAAGATTGTACATATAGTCAACTTCAGTACCAGTATACAGGCTTTGTCTTTGCTTTACCAGGTCATGGATGCTGGGTAAGTAAACAAACATTTCATTTCTAACAACTACCCTACTGAATTTCTTATATTGACTTTGCAAGCTTACAGTTTTTCCAGTTTGCAACTGTTTATTATCAGTTATTGGGATATATCTAGAGGACAATTTAAAGTTGGCCAAATTAACAACAATAGCTACATGTATCTTTAAGAAGGTTGGAGGTTTTACTCATGAGCTAGCTGGTGCCTTAAATATTGTATGAAGGTACCTGAAATCTTCCTTTACCTTCAAGTTAGAAAAAATATATGACTTTTAACAGTGTAATTGTGATTTAAATAATGTAAGAAGGCCAAGGGGCACCTGGCGTTTTATTCAAACTTCAAGCTGGAAAATCCACACATGACTTTTCAAAGTGTAATTGTGACTTAAAGTTTAGACAGTAACAGACATGATAAGTTATTATATGAGCCGCATCATGACAAAACCAACATAATGGGTTTGCGACCAGCATGGATCCAGACCAGCCTGCACATCCACGCAGTCTGATCAGGATCCATGCTGTTTGCTATCAGTTTCTTTACTTGTTATAGGGTTTGTAAGCGAACAGCATGGATCCTGATCAGACTGTGGGATGAGCAGGCTAGTCTTGATCCATGCTGGTCGCAAACCCATTATGATGGTTTTGTCATGACACGGCTCATATATTAATGTATGAATGGTATATAATTACAGACAGAACATATCAGAGAGATATTACAGCGCCCTCTACAAGAAACTTGTAGATCCTGCACTGAAGACATCATCTAAACAAGCTATTTTCCTCAACTTGCTCTTTAAAAGTATGAAGAAAGATGAATCAGAGAGGAGGTTAAAGGTCAGATGTTTTTAGATATGATTTTTAAGGACAGTCAAATTCATACTTAGGACCACCTGCCAATAAAAACCCCATATGAAAAAAACTTGTTTTAAAAGTAGTGAAATGAATAAATGATATCAGAATTGTAACACTTTCTTTAGAAAGGAAGGAAATGCCTATGAAAGATTATGAAACATCTATGAAGTAAACTGATGCAACTAGACTTAAATACTATTTCTGGTTTATATATTTACTGGCCATGCCTGAAATATGCCATTGATTAAAGATTGCCTGTATTTTACCTAAGAAAATAAGATTGAGAAGTCCACCTTATTTGCAGTTTTTATATCAATGTATTCAAAACAAATAAAACTTGTAACATGTAAAAATTAATGATATCATGAAGAATGAATCGATAAATAGAGTAAAACATTAAAATAATTTGAAGCTTTTTAAAAATTGTTATGAAAGAGAATTATTTTAATGAAAAAAAAAAGTATTTAGGCTAAAAGAAACACTTGAAACATATTTTATCCCATGGTTGGTTGACCACAGTATATATTACTACTATAGTCTGTCCCATTAAAAATGGAAATGAACTTTTGCCTGGTATGAATTAATAAAAACACGTTGAATAAAAATTAAAACTTTTTTGTAAACTAAAAAAAAGTCACCCTCGAGATTTTTCAGGATTTTTCTCAAAAGTGTCTACTTTTCTTGTAAATCAAAGCAAAGTTTAATTTCTCTACGGCAAGTCTCTTTAGCCAATGCCGAAGTACTCTTCATTTGAAGATGAACGAGAGAAAGCAGTGTCATATTTCTAAAATGTACATGATGTTTTCGGGGTCGTTTCATGATTATTTTACAACCCTGAATCTACAAGATGTAACAGTTTCGTTGCAATGCATGGTAGAAAACTTTAAAATGAATAACAAGCAACAACTTGAACAAGATCATCGAGTCTGTGGAGTAGATTCTATCTAGAAATAGCACTTACTTTTAAGCTGAATAGAATCCCTATGAGTTTCGAAATAGATCTTTATAAACGTCACGACAAATTCGCATTCTGAAGATCACTTCATTGCCAGTTTATATCCAGTTCCGTAGACTTTGAAACTCCTGAATGGCATGACATTTACACTTATGATGATCCAGATTTTTTCATAATCCGTCTCATTATTAAAACATTGTTCCATTTGTGCAGTTATCTGGGTTAGCAAATGAAATATGTAAATGAAACACATCATAATGCAGTATGTTCCAAATCCATAATTCAAGAACGGCCCATAAATTTAGTTCGACAGCACAATGTTTACAGTATAACTTCCTGACGAAAAAACATTATTACGTCACCAATAATTTACGAAATATATGACGTAACAAAAATGCCTCGCGCTTTTTATGGATGATTCCAGTTGCGGCATTGGCAGAGGGCGGTTAGGCATATGTAACCTCATAAAGATAATTTTAAGCGAGATAAATTTGTCTTGATGGCATTTAAAATAATTTTTGTATACAGTACCCAGATTTTGCAGTAATTGTTAAAAGTGCACCTTCAATTCATATATTAACAATAAAACTTTTGATAACATTTAAATAAATTTAAACACACTTAATGGCATGAATCTATATGACAGAATACCTCTTCCATTAATTCACATATAAACTTCGTTTTGACTTTATGTTTTTAAACTACTTTATATATTTTTCAGAAATAATTTCCCTGCAAAATATCTCGTTATTCAAGAGTTCTGTAAATCCTACTCTTTTAGCTACAAAATATACCCTACATGTATGCGGTGTTATTTTCTCTCGCGAAAAAATATAGCTATTGTTTTTTCACTGAATATTTTCAAATTTTAGGAAGGCTATAATTATTTAGGACATCACTCTGTGTTTCTCTTTGACTCGATATCCCCTTCATATTAACATAGTATGTAACACTTTGAGTCTACAAAAAAAAACTTATTGTCCCTGATTAAACGCTCCAATTCAATCTTATTCTTAATAATATCAAACACTGCCGGTATTTCTGGACATTTTGTTAAATTATGAGACGGAAAATTAATCTGTATTTACAAGCTTAAAGTGTATAGGCCAACGTTTGGTTGCTCAAACTAGGAAGCATTTTTATATTCTTATAATTTACATTTTTCCACGCACGCGAGTCTGTGTTCTCTCATTAGCAAATGAGCTAGGTAAAGTAGACACTGTGCAAAAACAATACTAAACATATATTGAATCAGTTCCCCTTTCTATATATTTCTTGTCAGATTTGCATGCTAATGTTATATTTGTTGGCGATTTATACGTCAGGTTTCTGTTGTGAAAGTTAAAGGGAGACACAGGCAAAATTTTCATTTCTTAGTTTTGAGTTTTTCAGTCATTAAATTGTAAATGCCCTAAAAATGAATATACTAGACAGTCAAAGGAAAAAAACTTTTCTCCATATAAAGAGTAAAATGGTGGTTTCCTAACTTGACCCGCGTGGGTCAGGTTAGAGCGCTAGGATTTCACAATAGTTGTCAAAGTGAACTCTGGAAACGTTAAAGAACATGTATGACTTAGACTTGTTTCAATCATACAATATCCATAATATCTGTTATTGTAACTTCAATGGTTTGTTCAAGTCATGTGACTTGTTTTAAAACTATTTGGTGATTCTACTCGGGTCTAAATTTTGTTCAACATATATAGATATATTTACGCTTCAAACCCAAAATATTTAGAATTTAAACAGAAATTCATGCTAAAACTTCAAGAAATGTCATTTTAGCATGATTTGAATACATAAGATCATTTTAATATTTTTGTCATTATTTTGTCTGAATATCCCTTTAAAACCTACGAAAAGTTTTAACGCACGAACATCGCACCCGAAATAAGAAGGGTAACATATTTTTGTATCCCATCGGACCTGGTTGATTTAATTATTTTTAAATAGACGTGATACATACTAATGGACAGTATTCAGACAACTACAGAATTATGTTAATTAAACATTAGCGAAGAACCATTTTTTCAGTCTTCTAGCTAGTGTTCCCGTTCCCTTACGACGCGTTGCGGTATTCAACATACGCGCTTGATTGAAAAGCTATCTAATCAAATCACTTCATAATATTGCTCTTTTTCTCTTAAAAAGAATATAAAATATGGTAATTATATAATTATATAAATCTTTGTGTGTTATAATTTATAAAGCGGTTACTGATATTTCACTTCAAATGATTTTAAATTGATTATTTTAAATAATGGTTTGCTAGTAAAATTGCCTTTTCGACACCAACTTTGTTCTCATTTTTCTTTTTAATGATAACATTTAGCTATTGATCAGAAAGTGCATAAGACTAATCAATTTTTTACAATTACCGAGTACATTTCGACGAACTCTAAATGACGTATGTATGGGCGCCGCCATTTTGGAATGAACGTAACGTAAGTCAACGGGAAAAATATAATTTAAACATTTTGACCATATTACTGACTTTATGAAAAAAATAAAAACATGCCTAGAGATATTGATGTCAGGATTAACATGACATTTATTTAAATGATTTCACTATTATATTTAATAAAAAATGGAATATTCAAATTTGGTGGGACAGACTATAGTATTCCGTACATCCTACATTATCTAGTATGTACAGAAAATATATGGCGGGTAACTGACAATATTTGTATCTTGAATGAATCTGTTCATATTTGTATATTTATGATTTTAATACCTTGATATTTTTCAGGCATTTATCAAACGTTTACTGCAAGTGTGCTCACACCAACAACCAGCATTTACATGTGGAGCTCTTGTTTTACTGTCTAAGGTAAGATCCAATCAGCTTACTAGAAATGTATATAGTAACTTTACTAAAATACTGAAATTCTATTTTCATGAAATATCCAACAAACATGTTGAGGGTCATTTTGTGCGAGTACTCTCCTGATTAAATGTGCACTGGGAATGAACCACAATAACGTTTTCTTTATCTTCATATAATTTTTTAAAGGTTCATAAGTAGTTATATAAACATTTTCAACACAATTTTGACAATAATAAAACCTACGTCTATATGCATATTATAAGCTGTTTTGATTGTTATGCAGGTATTGAGAGAGAAGCCTGGTTTACTGACTTTATTACATAATGAAGAGGTATGTAGAAATTTTCTGACACATTCATAAGTTGTTTTGTTATTCTAGAAGGTTTTTATCTGTTTGTAATTGATAATATTTAAGTCAGCATGTTCAAGAACATAAGCTTATTTTTAGCTTGACTTTAGAGGAATAGAAGGAGCTACTGTACTCCTCCAGATGTTGGTGTCATATTATGTTTTTGTGTGCAAGTTGATATCTCTAAAACTACTGAAGGGAATGGGGCAAAACTTCACACACTTACTTGAGAGCATGATAGAAGCTCTTTAAGGCCCATATCTCTAACATGGATTTGACAGAATAGCACCGAGAATAGTGGAGCTCATTGCCCTACCAACAGCTCTTATTGTACATACAATGTTAATGCAAATATAAGTTTTTCAATTTTTATTGCTGTATAAATCAGTTCTCACTAAAAATAAACAGCCATATATATTAAAACATTATAATATTGCTAATTTGTGATGTCAGATTTTATTTGACAGTCATAACATTTATTCTCTGCAGATACATTTTTGTGAAAATTTTTTTTTTTTTTTCTTTAATGACAACCTTAGTTCAGTGTTACCACAAATAACCTGGAAAAAGGCATATATATCTAATAATGTAAGTACACTCAAACTGATGTTGCAAGTTTTCTGTATTGTAGGAATCTGATGATGAGGAACATTTCGTTGATCAACTAGATGAAGATGACACGGAAACAAGGCCTGGTACCTCTGGTGATGCTACATCAGGCAGGGAACCAGTCAAAAAGTCAAAGAAAGCTTCCTGGGTCCACAGAGCTAATCTTAATCGTAAGGCATTGAGAAAAATAGTTTAGAATTAGCTTGGATAAGTGGCATTTTGTTCTTACTAACCTTTAAGTTATAAAGAAGAAATTGAAAGAAACATCAAGCATCAGTCCTTGTTTTTGTCGGTGTGCTGGAAGCATTTTAATTAGAATGAATACTTTGAACATTACTGGTACTATTCCATGTCAGTGTTTCTTTTCAAATTTGCAGGTATAAAATGCATAGTTAGGCATATATCCATGAGTGTTTTATGGATCTTGTAAAGACAAATGTTTTGGTTGACCATATTGGTAATCTGATACTGCCAAAAAAGGGACTTGAACTGGAGCACACATACACAAATTAATTTTAATGAATTTTTTGTTTTTTAATGTCAATACTCAATCTAATTTGTATTTGTTTCCTTACAGTTGGTTTATACAGAATTTCTTTTAGTTTGATTGAATAGGAAGCTTATGGACACACAAATCCGTTTCTGGGACCAACCAGTACTGAGCAATGAGTGTAAAGTTTCTTGCAAACAACGGTTTGATTCAAACCCCTGGGATAGCTATCCTTAGATAGCTAGTCTGACGCATTAACCACTTGGCCATGCTGCCACTTACTTACAGTTAAGGTGCTGTTTTTGAAGAAAACAATGTTTATCTTCATAACAATGAACAATGCTTTCTTAACTTGATAAGTTTCTTGTTAAGCATTAAATCGTGAGAATGATGCTGAATAAAGGATTGTTTTATGTTTGGTATTATAGATAAAACAGAGAAAGCAGATTATGACCCATACCACAGAAACCCCCAGTACTGTCATGCTGAGAATGAATGCATCTGGGAACTGGAAAATTTTACAGTCCACTTTCATCCCACTGTGGCATTGTTTGCTAAACAGATTCTTAAGGTACAGTTTCGTCTACATAAGCATTATGTAGCATGTTCGTAACATCAATTACTTTGGGGCGTCCGTGGCCGAGTGGTTAAGGTCGTTAACTTCAAACCACTTGCCCCTCACCACTGTGGGTTCGAATCCCGACAGGGACTTTGGATTCTTTCATGTGAGGAAGCTATCCAGCTAGCTTACGGTACGTCAGTGGTTCTACTTAGGTGCCCGTTTGTGCCTGAAATAATGCATGGAAGGGCACCTGATGTCTTCCTTCACCAGTAAAGCTGGAGTATGGCCAAATGACCTATACTGTGTCGGTGTGACGTAATACCCAATAAAAAAACAAAAAAACAAAACAAAAACATCAATTCCTTTGAATTTGAAATAAATATTCTCTCTAAAGAAACACTAAAGGCTTGTGTTAAAACATACAGAATTTTATATCAGGCAGTATTATCTTAAAAAAGGCGGTATTATCTTTAAAAAAAACTTAATAAATTGTAATATAAGACACATCATTGGTAGCATTTTGTTACGTATAAATTTACCACTACTTCATGATATATTTTTATTTCATTTACATGGTGTAATTTTTGCCAGTTTCTAGGAGACATTTGACAACAAGAAATTGTGTTTATTGAAATATATGAAAATATTTCTTTTCTGCTGCTATAAGTTGTGCTTCCCTATGTGAAAGGTTACAGATTTCAAACATTTTGTCCTATAGTCATTTATTTTTAATCTTATCTACAAAAGTTTGTTAGATCTGTCAAGGTGCTGAAATATGATACATTGAAGAACAACTCTAAGTTCCATCTGCAATATTGCAGAATGGTTTTAAATCTGACACAGTTGACAGTTTAGAAAAAGCTGCTTTGACAGTATGATTAATATTTCAGGGAGAGATGATAAAATATACCAGTGATCCTCTACAGGATTTTACTCTGATTCGATTTCTTGACAGATTTGTCTACAAAAATCCCAAGAAAAAAGAACAAAGTAAGTGCAAGTCCAAAATATGAAAACTAAAAGTTTCAACTGATATTCATTGCAGTGTCTTTGCAGAGCTTAATATATTTAATGATGTAAAATTACTAGTAAAACATGTCTACCCTTGGGGGGGGGGCAAGCCATAACAATATTTTCTATGAAAGTTTAAAAAAAATTACATAAGTCTGTATGGTCTCCATTACTGTTGAGGACATGTCAGCTTCGTACAAAGAAGATATTTGTGTATGTCAGAGTTGAGGTGTTTAAGTTATAATCATTGTTGTTAAGACTTTGACATGACTTATATATTCAGCAAATCAATGATTCAGACTTGGGGAGGGGGTGGGTGTGGGTGGATGGCATTAAAGGTGTACTACTTTCCCTAAGATCAACCCTATGATTTTCAACTCTTTGTTTTTACTGCTGTTTGAAGATCTGCCCATTTACAGATTTCTTATAAATCTTTTAAATAAATATCATTTTAGTTGAAGAGAAAACAATGAGTTTGTCTAGGAAACAAGCTGTGCCAACAGGAATCAAGGGAATGCTGGTTACCAGTGACCAGTTCCTGCAGTTAAATGAAAGCAAGGTACCAGCTGATGATATTTTCTTACACAGGTCAGTATAACAATATCATTTTCAAGTAAATGGTAAAAATATGTGATACTTAAGTAGATAACTGAAAGGCCAATTAAGGAAAATATTTGCCTTTATGATGTATTGAAACACTGTTAGAGAAAGGAATAATATCAAACAAAATGAACTGTTAGTCATGAATTAGTTTCTTTGTTTTTCCCCATTTGACATCCTGTTATTGTTTTATTTGTTTATTTCTCCAGTTTTCAGACATACATGTGACTATGTTATTGTTATTATTGTGATTTATAATAAGTAAAATAATGTTGTGAAAGTGCTAGCGATGACTCACATTTTTCACAAGTAAACAGTCAGGACAACTTGATAGGTCTTGACAGGTTTCAATATCAAATTTGTAAACAGTATAGTGCTTAACTGTCGAGATGAGGCACTTTGTTGTTTAGCAATTTGATATCATAACATCATTACTATGTACATTTAATATTCGCAAAGCAAGACAAGGCCAGTATATATATTTAATTTGGTAAAGGTTAATTTGTAGCTGTCTAACATAAATTTATATGATCATTTGTTGCATAATAATTCAGGTACTTCCAACAGAAGGCATTAAAAGATGAAAAGAAAGTTAAGGATGAAGATGATAGTGATGTTGAAAGTGTTACAGATGCTGAATTTGACAACTTCTTAGGTATATACAAAAATGTTATTTAATTGTGTTACAACTATTATGTTCTTTATTGGTTGTATACATAGAAAGTGGCTAAGTTAGACATTTTCAGTTATATTACTGGAGGTCTTTTTGGTTATGATCACTGACTTTCAATCACTTGACTCTTACTGTTAAATACATCAGATAAGTGTAGTTGTTAAGTTGTTTAATTACCAATATTGCTATCCTGATATAAACATTCACATTATTTAAAATAACTTGTATCCTTTGTATTGTAGACAAATATGAGGGGCAGCTTGATGGTCATGATTTCACGGATATTGACTTTTCCAGGTAACACAATTGTTTTACCTTATTTTTTGTTAGTGATGAATTTCATATCACTCTTTTTTTTGTTAGCAGTAAATTTCAAATGAGGTTTATCTCATTAACTTTCAAATGAGGTTTTAGGTTATGCGAATTTGTTTTGCATCGATTGTGTAAGAAGATACAAGCTTTTTGAAACACAAGCAAATCCTCTCCTGGAACCAACCAGTACAAAGCAATGAGTGTGAACTTTCTTGCTCATGGAAACAATTGTTTGCCCCTGATGGGGTTGAACCCACAAGGCCAGCAATCCTTAGAATCCTAGTCTGATGCATTAACCAAGCCACCACTCTAAATGAGATTTTTTCACATTGACTTTCAAATGAAGTTTATCATCTCATTAACATAATATAAAATAATTATAAAAATGTTTTACTGAACCTGATAATTTTTTGTGTGTCTGTAGATAAAATTATATCTCAGACTGAGTTTAAGTAAGCTGCTTAAAGGAGTTTATAATAATTGTCAAAAAACATCTTTCGTAGTAGAGCCTGAAGGTTGTAGCAATATTTCTGAAATTTTGAATACAGTTTCTGTACTTAACACAATATTTGTAAGTTACATGAATGTTAGATAATTTATGGTAAAATCATTTAGCATGTATTTTTCCTCTCACTTTCAGTGAGTTTGGCAAGAAGAAATCTAAAAAGGGTGATGATAATGATGATGATTCTGATGATGACTTAGATGATGATCTCTCTGATGAAGAAATTGACTTTGAAGATGATGAATTAGGCAAAAGTATAGTTTACAGAGTGCTTGTAAATTGTCTATCCTATTGGGGTAGCATCTATCTAGTATATTTCTAAGGGGCACAAAGCATATAAATTAATGACGCTATGACAATTTGACAAATAATAGGTAATAGTAATGGCAAACAAGAGGTTCTTTTGATATTATATTCTCTATATATATCCAGATTAACAATTGACATTTATGGCCGATATAATACTCTATTTATGTCTAAATTTAATATTTCTTTGAGTATAGCTCACATAATTAATTATGTAATGCTCATATGTGTGTCAATGCTTATATTAGTAAGTCTCGAGTGAGTATGCACACTGCTTGTATGTTACTGAAGTGTATATGATTAAGAGTAACACAACAATTTTGTCTTTTCATAGTAACTTACACTAATAGATGCATTTCTTGCCTATTGATATGCAATATCAACAACTCGCCCATAGTGTATTGATTAGGCATACTTCAACAGCCAAGAAAAAATATATAGAAGAATAAACAATTTTTGTTTCTATTTGAATTGTTATTTAAAAAGTCTCACTCCATGAACAAATTATATATTAGTATTTATGTGAAATTACCAAATATAATATAGCTTATAGTGATCATAAAACCAAGACATAAAATATGAAAATTGCCTAAAGGTTAATAACTTTAACTTGAATTGATGGTGGGTGGTGGTTGATGATGATGTGTGATGATGTTGATGATGGATGGGATTGATTGGGGGTAAATGATGTATGTCGATGATAATTAATTATGATAATGATGATGATTGTGGTGATGATGATAATAATGATGGTGGTGATGATGATGGTAGTGGTAATGAAGATGATAATGATTTTGATAATGGTGATGATGATAATGATGATGATGATAATGATGATGATAATGATGATGATTGTGGTGATGATGATAATAATGATGATGGTGATGATTATGGTGACATGTAATGATAATCACTATGAAAATGGTTGTAAGATTGTTTTAATTATATTTAAGAATATTTATGATACTAATTCTGGTAATAAAGAATACTTACATTGTGATGGTATGGTTTTAGATGAGATGGAGGGCGGTGATAGTGATGATGATTTTGGTGATGGAGACAGTAATGATGATGATGATGACGATGATGAACCAGGGGACTTTGCTGATGCTGATGATTATGCTGATGATTTTGGTAGTGATGAAGATCAGAAGCTGGAGGGAGGTTTTAATGAAGAGGACATAGAATTTTCTGATGATAATGGTAATAATATATATATTTGTTATATGTCTATTGTAAACTCGTGCAATAACAACATATTTTTAATTATCCAAGATAACATGTTGTTAAAAATCAGGATGATATATATGTATATTTTATCAGTGATTAAAAATGGATTAGTGGTGTGGATGAGAAATTTAATTATTTTTTGTATGCCCACTTATGAAGATAGGCAAATAATTTATACTTCTCTCAATATATCTGAAAGAAACATAAACTTGTTTAAGAAAAGTTTTTGAAAAAGTTGCTTAAATTTGTTACAGTGAAATGAGAGCAATTAAACATAAAGTTAACTTTTTAGAGTTTTCTTAATGTTTTAATCTCCTCAGTGAAATTTTATTTCCACTTAACCTGCTTGAACCAAAGGTGATTAGCCTTTACCACCATTATAGAGCCCCTGACAGTCTGACCAGGCTCTACTGTTGGTAGCTACATTTTATACTTTGATATTGAAAAACTTTGAATTACAAAAGGACAAAATTTAATTAATGTTGAAATATTTTCTAGTTGTAACTGATATAATGCAACCGTATTATAAAATAATGGGCCTTCATCTTCATAAAAGAAATTTTAAAATTAAGTTAACATAATCTGTATGATATTGATCATAAGGTTTATGTAACTTTTATACCAGAATCATTTTGGATTTTGTTTGTAAATTTGTATTTTCAGATGATTTTGCAGATTTCATGCCGAAAGGTAAAAAGAGGAAGGCTACAGGGGAACCCAAAATGGCTGCCAAGAAAGGAAAGTACGTAAATTGTTGAATATTAATAATATTACATTAAGGTATTAGCACCCTAATGCATTACCTCCGCTTTGAAGAGTATTCAAATAGGCTAGAACTACTGTTAACTACATTTAAAATGAGGGCCATGGGTTCAATCCCCAGAAGGGTCAACTTTTTATGCCCCCACAATGTGGGTGCATATAGCGTTGCACTTGTCCGTCCGTCCGTCCGTCAGTCCGTCCGTCCATACGTCCCGAAATCTTGTGAACGCAACTCCTCTTAAACCGGATGGCAGATTTTGCTTAAACTTACAGGGATGAACAACCTTAATATGTAGATGGTAGTAAAGGAAGGAATTTTTGCTGTGACCAAAATTTAAGATTAATTATGGCCCTTTGTTGATTTTTACTAGATACTATATAGAAATTTTGTGAACGCAACTCCTCTTAAACCGGATGACAGATTTTGCTTAAACTTACAGGGATGAACAACCTTAATGTGTAGATGGCAGTTAAAGGAAGGAATTTTTGCTGCGACCAAATTTTAACAGAATTATGGCCCTTTGTTGATTTTTTCACTATATACTATGTAGAAATTTTGTGACCGCAACTCCTCTTAAACCGGATGGCAGATTTTGCTTACACTTACAGGGATGAACAACCTTAAGGTGTAGATGGTAGTAAAGGAAGGAACTTTTTGATGCGACCAAATTTTACAGAATTATGGCCCTTTGTTGATTTTTTTCACTATATACTATGTAGAAATTTTGTGAATGCAACTCCTCTTAAACCGGGTGGCAGATTTTGCTTAAACTTACAGGGATGAACAATCTTAAGGTGTAGATGGTAGTAAAGGAAGGAATTTTTCGCTGCGACCAAATTTTACAGAATTATGGCCCTTTGTTGATTTTTTCACTATATACTATGTAGAAATTTTTGTGAATGCAACTCCTCTTAAACCAAATGGCAGATTTTGCTTAAATTTCCAGGGATGAACAACCTTAATGTGTAGATGGTTTTAAAGTAAGGAATTTTTGCTACGACCAAATTTTACAGAATTATGGCCCTTTCTTGATTTTTAGTATTCAACTTGTGGCACATGTAGTCCAAAAAATATTTGACCTAGAGTCATAAGATTGACAGAACAGTGGCGTGTGGGGGCATCCGTGTCCTATGGACACATTTCTAGTTTTTCTTTCTTTTTTTCTTTTAACATTATTTATGTATCTCTCATGTCCCATTTGGAAAGAAAAAATTGTTTAATTTAGATTTTTTAATTTATATAGGTATTTATTGGCTAAATTATGCTTAATCTAGTAATAAATATGGTACCTGATATTTTCAAAGTGTAATATAATCAAAACTAGACGGTAAAAGTGTTTCATATTTTACAAGATCAACCAATATACCTTTTTAAAAATTTAGGGAAACTTTGGAATCAGGCACTCATTTGGGTAAATTTTAAGATTTTTTTAAATTAGGCTCCCTAAGTAGAAAAATGGTCAGACACGTGGTAAAAATGGGTGGGGTAGGGTAACATTTTTATACAGATTTCATAAATTTCAAGTAGAAACCATAATTTTGCTTGTGTGGATTGTTAGCTGAATGGTACTATTTGTTTCTTACCAAAAATTGATGGGAAAACATTTTTCATTAGAATGTTATTACAGATTATTTAAAGGTTCCGCATTTCTAAAAAAGAGCCCTCATAACATCCCAGCTTGAGTTCAGAAAAGTGGCCATAACTTGATTTCCGTACGGTAAACTTTGTTTAAATTTTACATACAGGTGTACTTTAAGGTATACATCTGACCTATGATGTCAATTTTTTAGTTTCTGATAGTGCCCATTAGGGTCCTAATACCTTAAGTAATAGTATATTCTTAAGAATACATTATTAACGTTTTAGGCCATCTTAGAAAGAAGTTATAAGCTCTTAAAGTTTAATCTTATGGACAAAATAACATAGGAGTACATGGTATTCAAAATATTTCAGACTAATTTGTTGATTGCAACAATCTGTCATTTATACTTTTATTAGAAGAAAAGTCTTAAAAGAAATAAAATTTTCAAATTCATTCAGAAACATAAAACACTTGTGAATTATCATATTGTTCATATTTTATACTTAACATTTTTACATCACACACAAATTTTATTCTATAATGGAATTACTTAAACGTTATTCTTTGATTACATTCATACAAAATGTGTACTTAAATTACATAACATCAGTATTATTCTCCCACATGTAATCACTATTATTAATGTATATTATTCAGGAAAGCCAAGCACGATAAGGGTGACTTATATGCTGCAGCTGAACAGGTTTGAAATGTTTTTTTTCTTTAACCTTTAACTGCTAAATTTTTGTAATGGATTTTGCCCTACTTTGAATATGAAAGGTTAAGGAATTTTAATATTAAGTTTAAACAATTAAGCTACGAACAGTATAGAGCCTGGTTGGACTGTATAGATATGCAGGCTGGCCTTGCTCTATGCTGGTGGCTAAGGCAGATCACTTGCGGTTCCAGCAGATTATGGGTTAAAGCTTTTCCTTTCATCAGTTGCTTGTATAGATAAGACTGATCTTTTCATGTGATGTATTGAATTAGTAAATATTTATTTTGAAAGTCACAAGTTGACTTGATCTTTTTGTGCTATGTAAATTACATTCTTGTTTATTTCATTATGAAGAAATAGGTAAAATATGTTGAATTATTTTGAATTTATAATAAACAGATTACTAACATAAGTAGGTTTTTTTTGGTGACTTAATAAACTTAGCTATCTTTCAAACATTTGTGTTTTTTGTCATGTACGGAGACCCCAACTTTGTTTTTGGTGTGGAGAATAGACAAATATTTCTTATTCAATTTACAGAACCAGTTTAAGTCTGGAACTATAATGTTGATTAGAAAATATTCAGAATAAATTACATACTTAAACATTACAAATATGATATTTCTGAAGATGTTTTTATAAATTTTTGTCACAAGTGACATCATACATCTTCTGTATGTTATATTGTTTTATATATATCAGTTTTCAAGCATGATGGATGATACTGCAGGCTCTAAGATGAACATGATTAGTTCTGATGCTCTCTCTAACACAGACAAAGCAGGTAAATATGTGCAGAAAATATATAATATAAACCGGGAATATATCAGTTTCTCTACTTGTTATAGAGTTTGTAAGCGAACAGCATGGTGCGGATGCGCAGGCTGGTCTGGATCTATGCTGGTCGCAAACCCATTATGTTGGTTTTGTCATGGCGCGGCTCATATATATTTATTGGTGCTTGAAAACAGCTCGCTTCCAGTCATATTAATTTCTTTGACAATTTTGAAAGTGTTAAAAATAGCCAAAATATTGCCAAGTGAACTAAATAAATACGTAAAGTAGTTTAGTCTAACAAAAGGCACTTGAAATAAAAATAAATTATATAATTTATGTCAAATTTGGAAAAGGCAATCTTTATTGCATTAGTAAAAGTGCAAGGAATAACGTAGTGAATATGGTGATTAAAATAAAAAATTCAGTCATATTTAGAAGGTAGGTGGTTCAACTCGGGTTCCCTTTTTTGCCCGAAATACTAGAATTGCATTGAAGGTCTTCCTCCTGAAAAAACCTGGAATGTCACCCTAGGACTATAACAGCACAGTTGGAAGTATTTATTCGTTGAAGGCTCTTGACTGTTGCTGGCTGATTATTTGTCCTTTTTATTGAAATCATTTGAATTTCAAATGGAGATGCGTAAAATTCAAAGGTTAATAAATCTGTTAGAAAAATTTTGCAGGTTAAGGGGTAATTTGAAATTCCCCTATTAAAATACAGAAATTTGACAACTGACAGTTCTTAGTCAGGTCAGACACCATGGACAATCACATTGCAAGCTTGCATGAGTATACTGATGACATATTTCTGTAAAGATTTGTGTAAGCATTAAAAGGGTCAAGATAAAGTAAGAGTGAGTAATTCTTGATTTTTCAGATGTGAAGCAATTAAAATGGGAAGTTGATAGAGACAGATGGCTGAAAGGAGGTAACAAAAAACATTTTAAGAAAGGTGGAGGAAAGTTTGCAAAGAAAGGAGGTCATAGACCTGGAGGAAAACCATGGAATAAATCTGGTAAACCTAAAGCTGGTGGCCCACATGGTAGATCAGGAAAACAACAAAATAAATCAAGGAAAGGCAAACGATAAATTGGACATTTGATTGAAAATGATGGGAAAAAAATCTAGAAAATAATGATACATAAATAAACAAATGAAATGTATCTTGTTGTTTATTTTTCTTTGTATAACTAGTTTAGAATATTTTATAATATCTGGTAAATTATTGGCATGTGTAACTGAATACCTGAGGGTTAATTATTGAATAATGAGAATTTTCCACTACATGCACCATCTGAACCAATCACACCATCTGACCCAATTGCATCATCTGAACCAATCACACCATCTGAACCATTCACACCATCTGACCCAATTGCATCATCTGACCCAATCACATCATCTGACCCAATCACACCATCTGAACCATTCACACCACCTGAACCAATCACACCATCTGACCCAATTACACCATCTGACCCAATTGCACCATCTGACCCAATTGCACCATCTGAACCATTCACACCATCTGACCCAATTACACCATCTGACCCAATTGCATCATCTGAACCAATTACACCATCTGACCCAATTACACCATCTGACCCAATTGCACCATCTGAACCAATCACACCATCTGAACCTATCTCACCATCTGAACCATTCACACTATCTGACCCAATTACACCATCTGAACCATTCACACTATCTGAACCAATTGCTATTTGAGCATCATTGAGGTTTTATATGTGACTTTTCATTTAACACTTCTAAACTTGCACCATCTGAACCAATCACACCATCTGACCCACTTACACCATCTGACCCAATCGCATCATCTGACCCAATTACACCATCTGACCCAATCACACTATCCGACCCAATTACACCACCTGACCCAATTGCACCATCTGAACCATTCACACCATCTGACCCAATTACACCATCTGAACCAATCACACCATCTGACCCAATTGCATCATCTGAACCAATTACACCATCTGAACCAATTACACCATCTGACCCAATTGCACCATCTGAACCAATCACACCATCTGAACCTATCTCACCATCTGAACCATTCACACTAGCTGAACCAATTGCTATTTGAGCATCATTGAGGTTTTATATGTGACTTTTCATTTAACACTTCTAAACTTGCATCTTACTATTGTGGATTTAAATCCCGAGGAGTTCTTTGGATTTTGTTTCATATGAGAAAGTCTGCAAGCAAGTTTATAGAAGAGTGGTGGTTCTGATAATGTGTCCGCTTATACCTGAATCAATGCATGAATGACATTTTGCAGTCTCCCTCAACCAGTAAAACTTGAAAGTCGCAATATGACCTTCACAATTTTGATGAGACCTAAACAATCATCAAAAAAGGCAGGTCTTTATAGCATAGAGAACATAAAATCACTGGTATATCTGAAGAATAAATCATTGTGTATTATATTTTAGATGCGGGTGTTACTATTTTGTTGAGATGTGGTGTTTTTTTTTTATATTTGAAAAGTAATTTGATGATTGCACGAAGAGACAGATTAAAAACAAAGACTAAAGATTAAAAAAATATTTTTATTGCACTTATCTTGTAACCCAAGGTGATCCATATTGCTTGGGAAGGGCTCATCACAAACCAAGATATAGATCTTGATAAATACTTGGAATATTAATAAAATAATTTTGTCATGGAAGACTGTCAAATCTTTAGCTACTTAAGTCATGGACAAGTCCATATATCACAATTTACTTTCATGGTAAGAACCAAGACATACTCTTCAATTTCATGAGGGAATGTAGTTCTTGTTTGTAATCTTTACACTGGTAAATCTTCATACAATTTCCATGCACCTCATACACTGAAAGTGTACACCATTTATCCAAAATCACAACCCCGTACTTCTGCCTTATCACTGGATCAGTTGCGGCTTTTGAAGTGGAAATGTTATCTCTTCTATCAAACATTGTTATCAATGTCTGGTTGAGTATGTCCGCATCACAGTTACTGGCTTAATGCATCAATGGATGACGTTATTCAACCAATGATGACGTTATTCGACCATTGATGACGATATTCGACCATTGATGACGTTATTTAACCATTGATATCGTTATTCGACTATTGATGACGTTATTCAACCATTGATATCGTTATTCAAAGATTGATGACGATCTTCAACTATTGATGGCGTTATCTCTACCCTTGGTGACGTTATTCAACCATTGATGACATTCGACCATTGATGACGATTTTCAACCACTGATGACGTTATTCGACCATTGATGACGTATAGCAGTCGTTTGAGGTAAAGGTATCGTATGCTTGATATACCTTGACATCTGTAGGCTTCTGTCGACATTTCTTTATAGCTTTTAGATCACATAGCCAGCTTAATACCAACAAACAAGCCTGAAATAAAAGAATGTGCACTGTGTAACGTGAATGATTCATAAAAACTTGATGCGTTTGACAAATAAACTGGTCGCAACTGTACTGTAGATAAAAGATACATAACAAAAAAAGAACACATTAATGTTGGCTTGCATTACTTTTTCATTTGTTTTCCCGCTTTTTTACGGAGTCAAGAGATATTCAAAACACACTGATGAACATTGATTTGTAATGCTAAGTTTAAACTCACCATAAATAAACATAAACCAGCTGAATAAGTAGTCATCAAATTAAAACCCACATAGTCCAACAAAAATCCACCTGCAGACGGACCAAGGAAATCACTGAAATAAAATAATGTAATCTTAAAATAAGCGTAACATATATTGATGTATTATCAAACAAAGTATTCATTGAAAAAAGTACAAAATTTATTATGTAATAAAATTTAGATTCTAATGTTTAAAAGTAAATCTTACCCAAGCGAGTACATTGACATCCAGAAAGCCGACACCATACAGTAAGTTGCTGTGCCGTTCTCACACCCGGCGTTCCTATAAATTACCAACAAGATAATTCATTTCAATATGACACAAATGTTCATTAAATACATAAGGCCTACTCTGTAAATATTTATTTGGAGATAATTAATTTATGTTATTAATGTATGTAATATTAACAATTTAAACTCCGAAGAAAATCCTAATTAAAAATCTTCTTTATAAAACTGGGAAAAATTATAGAAGGAATAGATCCACTCCTATTAATCATCTCGCCTGTTTTACAGATATTAAATGGCTTCCTTACGCAAGTTCCAGACAACTATTAATTTACACTGCCCTCAAATCAATAAAAAAATAATTATAATTTGAGCATGGTTACGAAAAACGGTCACAATGACTTACTCTGCTAGCATAAAGAACATATCGAATGTAGGAACAGACGACAAACTTGCAGACGCGCCAAGAACCACCAGAGCAAGCACCACCAACCATAACTGACTACAAAACAATCACAACACATTAATGTCTAATAAATGGGATTTCTGATGCATACTTGAAAGCAGCACACCATCTTATGTATAAAAAACATAAAACGATGCCACTTTAACGTATAAATATTCAAAATACAGGTCATATTATAACACCATTTACTATTTCATCACCAAAATTCTACCTTGTAACTAATGGTGTAAGAGAAATTTTAGCATATTTTGAAATGTTACAAATATGTAATTTCAGACAGTAAGTATACCTTAGGCTTCAAAAAGGAAAAAAAGTTTATAATAAATGGAACATTAACGTTTTTTTTCGATTTTTCATGCCGAGGTATGAAATAATCATATTTCACTCGTGGCTACCGTAACTCGTGAAATATTTATTTTCATACCCCTCGATGGAATTAAATCCCGTATATATAACAAGAGCTGTCGGTAGGACAGCACGCTCGACTATTCTAAGTGCTTGATAGTAAAAGAGCCTTGATAACGTAAAATTTAGAGCTTTGATAATGTTAAATTTTCTAAGTTCACAAAAGGGCTAATTTTTTTTTTATAAATTCATGTTATAGGCCTTAGAGAGAGTCTAATTATACAGTATTGGCTTGACTATTCGGAAGGTAATGTCACAAGGGTGTTTTATTGAGTATAATAATACTAATTACCTATGAATACATAAAATTGACAGAAAAGGTACAAAGGCTTGTTATTAAGATGTTTTATCAAGTAAATCACTGCTTTATTATTATGAATGCATATAATTGTCCCAAAAAAGGCACAAACCCTTCAGTAATTATAGAGATAACAGCTTACAAGCAAAACTTTACCATGAATTTCTAAGTTGAAAAAGGGGAGAAAAATCAGCCTAAATGCAAGATAGAATTATGGATCTTTGTCAGTGACCTACAATTATGACCCTAAATGCATATGTGAAGTTTTAAATAAATATCTTTAATACGAGGGCTGTCCGGAAAGTTCGTAGACAAGGCTATAAAATTATTATAAGCAGTCATATTAATATGATGATTAAATATTTTGCTTAAGTATTCATTCTTATACAAATTTCTAAATTAAAAAACATAATAAAAGTTGTATTCGCAAATCGCCAATCACCATGGCAACATGATCAACGAATCACGGAGCACTTTGATTTCATGACAATATCTACTCGAATAAAAGGTTGCTAAAAGTTGTAATTTTAACGCAAACTCTTGTTTTAATGTTGTGACATCAAAGGGTACTACTGCTTGATATTTAGTGAAAATTACGACGTCATACGCAAAGAAACAACTTGTTAACGACGATTATGGGCAATAAAGTTGCGTTAGTTTTGTGTCGCAAAAAATGACGTCAAATTAATGGACGGAGCAACGTAATGTTATTTTACTTCAAAGCAACGCTTATAATGATTATAATCTTTACTTGAAAAACAAAATCAACCATAAATTGTTAAGGACAACTTGTGTTTAATTGTCAAACACGATTAAGAAGCGGTGATGACAGTATTTTGTATAAGAACCGTATCAGATTACCAAAAGTCGTAGATAAGTCAAATGTCGTAGATAATGATTGCGTTACAACAATCCTTGAAAAAGACAGACATATCACACACTGTATGGGAACCAGTGACACCTTTGACGTTGTTGTTTTTTTTAATGTAGTATATGAAATTAATAAAGTAATAGCAAGGGAACATAACATGTATAAAGTATACGCCAGACAGGTTCCATGGCTGTTTAAATCGGAAGAAATTGAATAGTGGATAAACATGACATTAAATTGACGCCGTTGACGTTGTCAAAGTGCTCCATGACGATGTATATATGTTGTATGTAAATGCTGTAAAAATACAAACGTAAGTCACAATTCAGTAATTTTTGATAAATGTGTTCGCTAGATATGTATATTTTTGCTGACAAAATTTGTACAACGTATGTATTGTTATACAATAAAAAATGAAGAAGTATATGAACTTTCCGGACATCCCTTAATAGTTATTGAGATATGTAAAACTTGCATGTAAACATTAACCAAGAGACTAAGTAGAAAAGGGGATATGAATCAGCCTTAATGCAGGATAGAGTTATGGAACTTGGTCAGTGACATACAATTATTACTCTCAAATTATGACCCTAAGTACATGTGTAAAGTTTCAAGTAAATATCTTTGAAGACCTTTAACCAAAATTTTCTAAGTTTCAAATTTAAGGGGCAAATAGTTCTGCAAATATTGCAGGCAGAGTTATGCAATTTTGCAAACTGATGTACATTGTTACTATAAAAAAGTATTTTAAATTTCAATTGAATATCTCAAGCAATAATTGAGATATTTGACTTTACATAAAAACTTTAACCAAAATTTCTAAGTTAAAAAGGGGCATAATTCTGTCAATATTGTAGGCAGAGTTATCCAACTTGTCAATCTGATGTACCTTGTTACTATAAATAAGTATTGTAAGTTTCAATTGAATATCTCAAGAAATAATTGAGATATTTGACTTTACAAAAAACTTTAACCAAAATTTCTAAGTTAAAAAGGGGCATAATTCTGTCAATATTGTAGGCAGAGTTATCCAACTTGTCAATCTGATGTACCTTGTTACTATAAATAAGTATTGTAAGTTTCAATTGAATATCTCAAGCAATAATTGAGATATTTGACTTTACAAAAAACTTTAACCAACGCAGACGCGGACGCTGACGCCGACGCCGGGGCGACTACAATAGCTCTCATATTCTTTGAAAAGTCGAGCTAAAAAACTAGAATATCGTTTATATCAATAACATATTATTCATATCGGAAAAAAATCTTTTATCAACAAGAAACAAAAGATGTGTATGGCTTCATGACAACTGGAATCGAGCTTTTATTACATTTTTTCCCTAACACTTCGCTCATGAAAAATAAAAGTAGTGTTTTGAAGGACTTCATAACAACGGCATATTAATTGTTAAGTTATAAATAGATCTATTGACTTACTAATAATCTTCATCAAGCCCAATAAGTGGAGAAGGACCTATTAATAAAGAACCGAGACAGGCAAATAAAAATCCCACCATCAGTAATAGTCTCTGATCGTCCTAAAATGATAAATAAATCAACATATGAAAACTATTTACACAAATCTGGTAATATATAAACAAATCATCTTGATTTTACCTTTAGGACCAAAATTTCAATATAAATGGAAATGTGCAACAGTATATTGATTTTCACACAAGCACAAGGTTCTGGCATTCCAAGGGGGGTCTAAAATTAATTAGTTTGTATCGTCCAAGGGGGCGTCTAAAATTAATTAGTTTGTATCGGAGTTCGGTTTCTCATGACCACATAAGATAAATTATTGATACGCCACCCAGTTATGTTTTTGTGAAAACGTTTTTTAGTTGCTATATATTTTATGGCATTTAATAAATGCCCTATTTTCATTCAAATACTAGAGTTGTGTTTTCACTTCATCCATACAAGTGTGACCTTTTGTGACTTTCTCTAAATGGACAAAACATAAAAATACGGGTAAGACAGGTCAATGAATTGTTTAATAAAGAACTGTTAAGTTTTAACAAATTTTATTCCTTTTTTTACAAGATTTGCGATGCAAATATATGGGACACATATAAAAATACATTTTTGAAAGAAAAAGGGTTGGACCACAAGTTCATATAACATTAGTTATTCGGTCCGTTTTTGATATAGAACTGTTGAATACATTTTAGATTTTAAGAATGAAAATGTCTATGTGGTGCACGTAATAGTGCTGGTTTAAAAGGAAAAGAAAAATTCTTTTTGAAAATCTGATTTGAAAAGTATCACGGAATGCAGAAAATAAATGAACTAAAATGATATAAATGGCGTACCAATTTATCGGAAATCCAACCCCATAGAGGGGCTGTCACGGCGTAAGCTGCTGCCATTACAAGAAATATAACGCCGACTAGCTCTGGTCTAAGATTAAACTGGAATGAAGAAAAATAAATAATGTCATGTTTTTTTTACAGAAAATAAGACTTCATAAATATTTTGTTTTTAAAGAAAATAAGACTATGTAGCAATCCCCCGAATAATGGTCTACACCTTCATAGATAGAGAGACCAGGCAGGATGACCAAGTTATACGCTATATACTGTCGGCTGGTCAAGTTACGTATTTTGATTTTGTAATCCCTTCTGAAAATATACACTTCTACAATTAACAGGATGTACAATCAAAGGAGAGCGGAATAGAAGATATAAAATACTGTTTCTGTGTCAACTGTACCTCTTTAATTGCAAACACTGTATAACATTTTTTTATTAGATCTACTGTCTATACAATGTATATTGTTTTATCCGGTTTTACCGGCAGTTTAACAAGTATACCAGTTATTCACCAATGCACAAACATTCAATGCATTTCGCAAATAATAGGACTGGAACTAAAAAATCTTAATAATAATAATACATCGATTAATATTAAAGAAATAAACTGATAATCATAATGGTATGTACATGGTTATGTAAATAATGTTTTATTGCATATTTAGATATACATCAATTCATTTACATCAACAAAATTACACAATATACAAAAGGGTTGGGCCAAAAGTTTTTACAACATTATCGGGGTTATGTAAAGGGAATTTAGATAAGACCGCCTCGACTTTGAACTTTGGATACTACTAGAATCACGTGTGAAGACTTAAGCAGTCATATGAATGATACATGACAAAAAATAGGAACGCCTACCTTCCTTAAATGAGGTTCAAGTGTAGGGTCAAGTATAGACCACATGAAAGTGCTGGCGACGATTGTGAAAACAGTAAGTATTCCGTTTGGAGAGCAGAATATTTTAGTGAATGGCACCTTTTCATTATCCGTCTCAGAATCGCTTGCTGGTGCTGAAATATGTAAATTAATTTTATAGTTAAAACGTGAAAATTGTAACCTGATGTAAAAATTGAAAGAGCACAGTTTAATCCTTACCCCGCTAAATAGCTTAAATGGACTTGTCCATCTTTCAATCTGGACAAAACCATTCAACAGTTATAGGGAAATTTTCAAAATATGTACAAGCCTGACTGAATAACAGTGCAGACCATGATCTTGATCTGCACTGGTCGTATGGGTAGAAACAGTATATACGTATAGCAGGCTTAGTGTTGACAAGATGATAATTGATAAAATCAAGTGCTAATAAGATGCGAAGATTTTCTAAGCAACTACTAGTATTGCAGTCTAACATACAAATATATACTAAGTTTCCCCGCTAAATTAAAGATACCACCCATACAATCGGCATCTAATTCAAACAAATTCAGGTGTAGGTTATAAATTTAAGGTGACTTATGAGTTTTAAATGAGAAAAATACGACGTTACTGCTGGAAACTTTTACTAAATGCCAATTACACCGATTCTGACCTGACCATTAATTACAACGACAACAACAACAATAAACATCCGGTAGTGACGGATAAAAAAATTTAAATTCTGACAAAACTTACCTTGATCATCTGAAGGAATAAATGCGATCATAAAAGGTACACAAAGCATTGCTAATACACCTATAGATACAAATGGAAGGTAAAAACCATCAACCTGAAAATAAAATACAACATTCTTTAATCAATTAATTACCAAGATGATAAAGTTGGTAATGCTTATATTCTTACACTCTGTTTTAAAAGAAATAAAAGTTGACTGATTTGCTTATTTTTTAAGTAAAATACCAGTCAATGTAAACCGAAATGAACTTCCGGTAAATAGTGGTGAGTCGGTGACTTCGATTTTTGAATTTTCAGTCGGCGGCAATTAAAGGCACATTTGCCGCGCTAAATTTTATATCATTTTAAATTTATAAACTTACCCCATACAGTAAACCTCCGACTGCAGGCCCAGCTACTAACCCTAAACCAACAAAAATCTCGCCAAAACCCTGAAGAAGAAAAACGTGGGGCCAGTGTGAGACCATGCATCTTTGCCGACACAACAGATAGTACTTACTACAATAATACAATATTATTTCTATACACTTTATGTTTGAGAAAATAACTTCAGACAATAACAAGCTTCTGAGTTAATTCACGTAACATACATGTAATTTATTAACGTTCTAGTGCGGCTTGACACTGACCAGAGGGCATTTCAGTTAGGTGATATTTCTTCAAAGTAAATGTCAATGAGAGAACACGACAACTGGATGGTTGGACAGACGGACAGACACATAAACCTCCAGCGACGACTATAGAAATACATAGAAAAGCAATCTTGTGCGATCGGTGGCCAAATTTAAAATGTTCAGTAGAAATGTTATATAATGACCTAATTTCATTGGCTTATATGTTTCTCATTTCTTAAATTTAGTCAAACCCCTGCTGGGAACCTAGACTTTGATACAGAGATGACTTTTATTGTGTTGTAGTGTACATGATGTCAAACAAAACCAGCGTCTGACAATTACCATCATAATGTAAGCTAGCTACTGGCCAATAGCAAGTTCTGTTCTGTTTTGTTCCGGGCAGTTTAAAGGACCAACATTAGAGAGTAGAAAGGGACGGATGAAAATATCAAAGAATACTCACGAATACTGATGAAATATTATCTGGAAAGTGTTGTACACAGAGAACAAACGACCCAGTACTGGCACTAGTGATACCAATAGACCGTACAACTTGTAACGTGAAGGAGAGAGCTATAAATACACCGTTACCATTGTCAGACGGTACATAAGCTAATAAACTGGAAATATAAATATGGCGGTATAAATAAAAGTATAGAGGAATGAAGTAAATTAAAATTTATAACAGTAATGGAGTAAGAACACAAGAGCGGACAAAGTTCCTTTCTCTCTAGCAACATAACATTTCACGTGATATTATAAAATTTAAAGGTTGATATATCAAACGGTACAACGGAGTTACATAATAAGGGCAGCGTGATATTCAGTTTAAAAAGTGGGCTCATAATAAGAACAAAATGAAATTCAAGTTAAAAAGTGTGCTATCTTCTCAAATACCAAATGACCTTTTACTTCTTAGGTGCGGGTTGAGAACTTTTATAGATTTGTTTACTTTAATAAACAAAGTTTGACAGCCTGATAAATCATTTTATAATCAATTTATACATGAATATACATGTATGTAAGTTCAATCATTGATCAACCTGACATTCAAAATTCAATTATACTTAGACATCGAACTTTGAAATAAGGCAGGTCTAAGGTATATGAATAGAAAAAGGAAATTGGCAAAAGATTAAAACCTCTCTTTATAAAAAGCGGGAAAATATGAAAAAAATAAAAATAAATAAAAACCAGCCCTAATTTGAACGGTGTTGTTGTGCATGATTATGATTTTACAACACATATTTCAACATGTTTCGATAAATTACACCTCATCACCGATTTAATTTATATATAAGCAGACGACTAGTTTATACTAACGGAGAGAATAGTTTAGAAACTATGCAATATACACGAAATAATCTGGTCAAACATATAACCTAATACATTAGTTTATAATATAACATATAATATTATCATTATGTAAATCTCCTTACCATGTGTTTGCAAATATTATTTACAAAAACATGGTACGGAGATTTACATAATGATAATATTCATGAATTCACGCTACAACTTTAATACTATCCTCAATGTACAATATTATATTTATACTGCATATGAGGTGATAAAATGAAAGCTAATTTTACCCATTTATCTACTGAACTTGCATTTGCCTTGCATTTATTATGAAACAGTCAATTATATTATAAGGAATTTCAAAATACAAAAAGAGAGAAAAGATTAAACTGCAGCCCGTTTTGGCGCTTAAACTACTGACAAAAGCTATTTCCGGTTTCTGTGAGCGTTCGTACTATGATAAACTAATGATCTATCAAATCATTATTGAATTATACCCAAATAATATGGTACATCCACTGAATATGAACATCCCTGCTATAGACATAAACTTTACACCAGCGTGGGGCATCTGAAATTTATATAAAATACATTAGTTTTTTTGGATACCGAAACTTTTATTTCGAAACATTTGAATAGAAACAAGAGCCATGTCAACATGGCCATCCCCCGCCGAATGTGTTTGCTCATTGGAAGAATGTATATGTAGTAGAGCTGAATAATTTAATTTTAAGAGGTCTTTTGGTAATGAAAACTGATGGCTGAAGAGATTACAGATTTGAAACCTATATAAATATTGATGGTTGAAAATAACAAAGGACAATAACTGAAAAAATAATGCAGGATAGGTTATCATTCTTGTGTGCTGCACCCCTCCTCAGTAAAATCTATCCACCTATGAAGTTTCAAGTTGATACCTCAAATACTTTTTGAGATATGCTCTAAAAATAGTATGAAAAATAACTAAGGGCAATAACTCAAAAATTATATAGCGAAGAGTTACCATTCTTGCGCACAGCATTCCTCCTCAATAAGATCTATCCACCTATGACATTTCATGTTGATATGTCAAACACTTTTTGAGTTATGCTCCACTCAGGTGAAAAATTAAGTATGAAAAATAGGGCAATAATTCAAAAAATATGAAAGGTAGAGTTATCATTGTTGTGCACTGCACACCTCCTGAGTGAGATCTATGCACCTATGAAGTTTCATGTTGATATCTCAAAGGCTTTTTGAGTTATGCTCTGGACAAAAATTAATTTTGAAAATAACAAAGGGCAATAACTCAAAAATTATGCAGGGTAGAGTTATCATTCTTGCGCACTGCACTCCTCCTCAATGAGGTCTATCCACCTATGAAGTTTCAAGTTGATACCTCAAATACTTTTTGAGATATGCTCCGGACAAAAATGTCGGACGGAAGGACGGACGGACGGAAGGACAGACGGATGGAGACTATTTCTATAAAAGAAATGAATAAAGAAAACAATCTTACTTAACGAACATTGATTTTGCCTAATCAGTTGCCTTTCAACATATGTCTTTTCAAATAATAATTGACAAAATATCATAACAAAAAGCCTGGCATGTTTTACATTAAAGTTTCATAACCAATAAAGAAAGAAAGAAAAGTTTGAATTTCTTGATTTATAATCGATATCTAACAGTCCGACATATTGCAGTAAAATTATTCAATTATGTAGTAAAATTACCTAATTAAAGGCAACAACAATGAAGAATTACAAGAAAAGGTATTTAAACTCAATATCTAAAACTAAATGAGACACTGACCTAAAATAAGATATACAGGGTGTAACGACCTCAGGTAGAATTTTCTTTTAAACATTTACTTCGGTAAACACATAAACAAACATATATGAGCCGCGCCATCACAAAACCAACATAATGGGTTTGCGACCAGCATGGATCCAGACCAGCCTGCGCATCCGCGCAGTCTGATCATGATCCATGCTGTTCGCTATCAGTTCTCTACTTGTAATAGAGTTGGTAAGCGAACAGCATGGATCCTGATCAGACTACGCGGATGCGCAGCCTGGTCTGGATCCATGCTGGACGCAAACCCATTTGGTTGAATTTGTCGTGACGCGGCTCATATTGAATCTGAAGTATTCTTATTATGATGAAAAAAAATGTATTAACAACTTACCAACTTGCCTATAAAAGGAGATGCAAGGAACTGAACAAATGGTGATGTTCCAAATATCCACCCGGATAATGTATCACTCACATCTTTCTTTAAAGCCTGCAAAAATATCATTGAGCTCATGAAATAATTAAAAATTCCATCTTGATTCAATTCTTGGAATTATACATGTAAATCCTTTAGTCAGATTCGACCCGACATGAGGCGCCTGTATTTCTTGACTATATTAAATACTATATTACAGTTTGCAAAGAACGCAAGAGAAAGAAAATAAATCATGAAACTACCAAAAAAAAGGACATGCTTACAATATTCTTACAAAATATATGCGCAAGAAATGTACATATTTTTCTTGCTATATAATTATATTGTTTTTCCTCGTAATGTATTTGAATTTTAATAGCACCCACGGCACCTCTGACACAAGAACATTGGGCTCATTTATCTGGTAAGTTATGATACAATTATCTTGAAACAATCCTTTTACTAATAAAATATAACCTATAGGGCTATACTAGTGTGTCGGTTATATAACCTACGTCGAATATGTACATGTATATGATATCTGTATACAATAATTCACGATCCAAGAATCATTGTTTACAAGGTAAATGAGATAAATGCCTGTGCTGTTTTTATTCTTCTAAATTTTACAACAATTTTAACACATTCTTTGGTTAAACCTCAGCGAACGGTCCACGTAACCGGCTTATCAGTAATTACCAATTTCTGTGCCAGTGACCGACTACTAGCAATAATCATCGGTGACGAATATGGTGGCTGATTTGGAACACTTTTGTGCGTCGTGTTCTTGATAGCGACAGCACGACAAAACGCAAAACGGCGCCTTGTCGGACTTTTGTCGTTCTTTCGATAACGATCTACGCCAAACGGCTCGTTGTCGTGCGGCGTGTTGTCGCGATGTCACATTGTCGAAAGATTGGCTATTTGTATATATGTAAGCCAAGCGACTGGGCGACATCGCGCCGCACGACAACGCGCCGTTTGGCACGCTTCGCTAGCGACAGGACGACAAGACAATAGTGCGACAATTCGACGTTTGGCGCCAAGACGAAAAGGTGATAACGATATGGTTGTGTTGTCGCTATTGACCACGCAACGCGCAGAGTGTACCAAATCAGCCACCATAGACAAATGATTATTTCCAAGCTCAATTATCACGAAATAACAACGCCTCACCCCGAGGATCAAACCAGCCACCATTTATTCACTAATCCGATTCTCTCCCTATTGAGCTAAGTAGCGGAACTATGCACTGATGCTATTGAATACAGAACACACAAATACCTCTTCCGGGAAAAATGGAGCCATTATAGACATGCTGAGGAAAGAAAGCAAGTCCACGATGGATGTTGTTGCTAAGACAATCTTCTGTGTTCGAGTCAACGTCCATATTGATAAGGTAGAACTCTCTGAATCAATCCGAGATGACGAAATCGATAATGACCTTGACCTATAAATGGATGGCGTTCGTGTCGTCTGCCGACCCCGCTCTAGTAATGAACTTCTTTCACTGAACACGTCATGCTCGTCATGCTCGGTATTCAGTGATGTATCTTGACTCGGAATATCATAGAAACGTTCTTTATCACTGTCCTCCTGGCTAGTCACTGTCATTACTAACTGTAAACCTGAAAATCGGAAAAACAATCAATCAATCAATCAATCAATCAACTTATATTATAATCCAAAATAGGAAAAAACTTCTTTTATCAGCTCAGTTAAAGGTTAAAATGCATATTTCACACCGCCACCAGTTCGATTTAAGAAATATTTTGAGTTTACTCGAATAATATTATAATTTTTAAAGCGACACATAATCTCAATATGTCGACTGCAAGACCGACCGATTTTACAAACTGATATTAAATAGATGCATGTCTTTAAGCCCGTCGTCTATAAAACACAATGTTTTGGGCTAAACGACACAAGGTTATTTGTGTGTGTTTGTGTAAACAATAAGAAGTATTTCAGAATTCTGAAAGAAAAAAACTCGCCTGTTTTCTTATATTGAACATGCGTCACATTTGCATTCAAGATACAACATTTCAATGAAAAATAAACAAGATTTATGCATGAAGACAGTTGGTTCAATACATACAAAGTAACATATGTTTCTTAAATCCAATTGTTCAAAAGATTACAAACTCAGATTAGTGAGTGATTCAACTCGTAGAATATAAATACATGTATAAAGAGGGTATTCAAGTTTCTTCTATTAAATACAAGATTTATTTTCATCGGGTGGTATGAAAATAAATATCACACGAGTGACGGTAGCATATTTTCCTACCACAATATGAAAATAAATCTTGTATTTATAGAAAAAAAAGACTTGAATTTTCTGATTAATGAATACATTTTACTCTTTTCTTACATTACAATTTGAAAGATTTCCCCTAAAATGTTGTGTATTGGTTGAATTTAGATCTAAGGAATCCATTGAAAATACGGAAAATGAAAATGCGCATTTGATTCCATCAATATTTTTCAATATTTCATTTATAGGTATGTAATAAATACTGTTTATTAAACAGTTGGGGTGCTACATTTCAACATATGACAGCTGTTTACACTGTGCTTGACAAATGCTCAGACACTACGTTATTGCCTATTGGCATTTGTTTCAGCTTTTTGCTAAATTACATCAATTTTCCTATCATTAGCAAGGGACAGTTCCAAATTCAAAGCATCATATAAACGGACAATGGTGAAAGTCCATCTACATGTACTTAAAATTGGTCTGCAATGGTCACATCTTCCAAATATTGATGAAAACAATAGAAATATATCATTTGGATATTCTTATAAAATATTTCTGGAAAACAATGTAGTTTTTTTTTGTGTATGAACATAATATGTAATTATGTCATTCCAGAACACTTTATTATCGGCCATTTATTCATATATCATATCGAATCATTTATCTAGCATCTATACTAACAACATTCAAATATGATTCTTTCGCAGTTTGTTTTCAAGAAGAAGAAGAAGAAGAATCTTTATTTTGCAAATTAACTCTCAAAAGAGTCATGTACAAGCATTCATAATATATACAATAACATGTATGCATAAGTAAATAACTAATTACATAGCAAGATGACGTGACTGCAAGTATTTCTTTTCTTTCATTATTATAATGGTTACCATTGATTATATATTTAATTTACAAGTTATTTACTTTTTGAGAGATTCTACATTCAAATATATAATAATAAGAAATACTTCGTGTATGTATTAGGCTTGCAATCACGGGAGAGACATTGTCAGCATCTATTACATAGTATACTTTTAATTCTCTTCTATACACTGGTCTTTGTATTACATTTACTAATCTAAGCTATATGGTTTGATTTATTGCAATAGTAATATGGCACAAAATATTGAAATTATACAAACAAAACAAAACAAATGTTACTTCTAAACTATACTTTTGAACACATATAATGCTTCAAACTTGATACAAGTAAGACCAGTGTATGATTTGAAACTTACAAATTTATAGCCCTATAATCATCGTGTTACTTAACCTATTATACATATAATACACAAAGAATTGCAATGTATCAATAATACATCTATATACAATTACATGACAGCTAATATTCGTACGTTACACACATAAAAGTACAATACAGTGTGTCAATTAACTTCTATGTACGTTTGCATGGGACTAGATATTCGGTTCGCAAAAAACATATATATAGAACTTTAAATTAAACATTTTTGTACCTTTACACGAGAATTGTTTGTAACTGTTGTCTAATATGGAAGGCATAGTATATAAACATAGCTAAATTTCTAATATCATGTACATTATCGCTTGTAACCAACTGAACAAATTTAAACATGCTAGGAAACCTCCAGTAATATTTCTTTAAAAATCTTGTTCGGAGTTCCTGATAAATAGGACATATAATGACAAAATGGAACTCGTCCTCTAATTGGTTACATGCTACACAGACTCTATCATTTAAAGGTACACTGTGGGGTTTTCTCCATCTACCCACCTCTATTTCTAGACGATGAGAAGACATTCTTAAACGTGACATAGCTATTCTATACTTTTTAATATCAACAATATCTAAATATCTACTAAAACTGAAATCATTAAAAGTATGGTAAAATAGTGCTCTGGAAGAATTACTGATTCGAGCATTTAAATCCTGTTTCCATGTGTCTCTAACTCTCTGGTTAAATACATTAAGAAAAATTTTAACATGCGGAACTCCTTGGTTTTGCCATACATTGTTAAAACCCAATCTAGACAATAATGATCTTACGTTCGAAACCCAATTTATTTTCCTACTATTATTTTCACAATCTGCTTTTTATAGTAAATATGCATGTTTAGTATACTTGTTGTCTTCTGACATACACAATTTCAACCAATATCTGATTATTGACCATAATCTGTAAACTTCTAGATTAAATCTGCCCAGTTCACTATATACAAAATCATTTTGAGTAGGTATCTTAACACCAATTAACGTTTTACAGAAATGCAAAAATGTTCGTTCTACCTGTATACCTTTGTAAAAGCCCCAGACTTCTGAGGAATAACACAAAATTGGTAAAATCAACTTATCAAAAAGTTCTAAATGGTGTTTTACAGAAAGATCTGTAAATTTATATACATATTTATTCATTTTGTATATTGCTTTTAAAGCTTGTCCTGATAACATTACATCGTGTTCTCTAAATGAACCACCTGTGCTAAACAATGTTCCTAAGTATTTAAATTTTGAAACAATTTCGATAAGACTGTCTTTGTACAAAAATTCTAAATTTCGAGGCAACAATCCACTTTTTCTAAATACCATTACTTTTGTCTTATCAACATTTACTGTAAGCTTCCATCTATCACAATATTCAGATAAGATGTTCAAGGCATGTTGTAAACCTTCAGCCGTTTTAGAGAAAATAGTTATATCGTCCGCATACAGTAATAAACATATCTTAAAAATACCAGTATCTATACCCTCGACTCCTTTAGCTAAAAACACATCTTCAAGATCATTCAAATACATGCTAAATAAAAATGGGGACAGGCTCTCACCTTGTCTAACTCCTAAATTACAAGTAAAAGCTTCACTAATATTATCAAAATGTTTAACTCTTGAGGAAATGCCTTCATACATGCTCTGTATAACTTTGAGAATATTACCAGTCACTCCGTATTTTATTAATTTGTACCACAGTACATCTCTAACTACGAAATCAAAAGCTTTTTTAAAATCAACAAAAGCTACATATAGCTTTTCATTTTTGTTCAAACAATGTGAAATAAGAGCATTTAAAATAAAAACATTATCAACAGTACCCATATTTTTTCGAAAACCTGCCTGGGCCTCTACATAAACACCATAGGATTCAGCCCAGTTATCTAATCTAGTATTCAATATTCTAGTAAATAATTTTCCGAGAGAACTTAACAAAGTAACACCTCTATAGTTCGATGGTTGATCAACACCACCCCCTTTATGTATTGGTACTATATAACCTTCACTCCATACATTCGGAAAATGTCCTAATTTCAAACAAGCATTGAACAATTTATGCAAATATGGTAACAGATCATCAACTCCATGAATAAATAATTCGTTCACATACAAATCAGGTCCAGCCGCTTTATTGCCCTTCAATTGTTTAATAGCTCTATATATTTCATCAACAGTTATATCTATGTTCAATTCATCAAAAATATCTTGTATATTATCATTCAAGAAATTCTCATTGAAACGTAAAACATCTTCATCAGCTTGGTAAAAAACATCTTCAGGATTATTTATAGCTTTAAAATAGTCAACAAAAGTATCTAATTTAGGTTGTTTAGGGTCATTGTTACAAACGGTATCTTTCAGCATTTGCCAATATAGCCTTGCATTTTTAACTCTTGCATTTAACAGTTTATCAGTGTTTTCTCTTCGAGATGAATATTTTTTGCTTCTAATAAGTTTTTTATATTTTTTGCCTAGCCTCACACAAATTTATTAAATTTTCATCAGATTCATTATATTTAAATCTGTTTTGACAGACATAAAAATCATTTTTTGCAGTTTTACATTCTACGTCATACCATGCATTTTTATTTGTCTGCTTTTTTCGTTTCAAAACGTTTCTGCCAAATAAAGGTGAACAAACAGTATGCATGACCTGAGAGAAAGAGTTAAGACTACTATCTATACAAGAAGAAGTATCATTATTTTCTAACTCCGTTACAAGCCTGTTAATAGATTCAACAAAAGTTTCAGACTGAAGACTTTCTTTATAAATATTTAACTTAGATTTATTCCATTTGTATTTAAATGACACTTTATCTGCATATGTGCTCTCCTCTGCACTCAAATTATTTACATTATTTATCCCTTCAAAAGAGAAATTTACAGTACAATGATCTGATAATATATTAGGTAATCCAACATAAAACTTACTGAAATGTTTCATAACAGATGTATTACAAATAACATAATCTAATAAACTCCTCGCTGATTGTCCGTTATATGTACACACGCCTTTTTCGCCACATATTCTACCGTTCATTATGCGCAGGCCACTAGCTTTACAAAAATCAATTAAAAGACGCCCATTTCTATTAACGCCGGTATCGGTTGTCAACCTATCCATATAAACATCAGTTATATAATCATCAGGCAATAATTCAGAAAAATACCGATCAACATCGTCATGTTCTACAAAATCTTTTAAAGACCCAACTCGACTGTTCATGTCTCCAAGCACGAGAAAATTGCAATTATCACCAAACTCATGTGACAGCTTTGACATTTCACTCATAATTCTATCAAAAACCGGGATTTCTATTAAATGTTCTCTACTACTTCCCTGAGGTAAAACATAGCATAAGCAAATAAACAAGTCATGATCAGATTCAAAAAGATTACGTGAAAATTTTAGCCATAAAATATCATCCCCGTCTGTTTTATGTAGTTCTACGTAATTAATATATTTCTGTTTAATATAGCAACATATACCACCAGAGTCTCTTTTTGCATTAATATTTCTTTCTTTTCTATGTACAGAAAATAGTTTAAACCCAGGTTTTTCCAAATTAATTAAACAATTTGCCCATGTCTCTACAATAAATATGAAATCATTTGAATTGAAAATGTCGACTAAATCTTGTTGTTCAAGTTTATTAACGTTTTTAGTCACTAATCCCTGAATATTTAGTAGCACAAAGTTCAATGACTCAACATGTCTCTCCCCGTGGTCCTAAGTTGAAGATCTTTCTTTAACACTGGTACGCGCTGCACTATTACTCTGTGATTCTTTCGAAAGTGGGGGAAAATCCCCATGAAATGACGAGCTTGAATGGTTACGGGACGCATGATTCGCTCTTGTAGGGGAACCCTTCACGGCGGCGGCATCGTTCTCAGGGGTTACAGGATCAACGGGAGTATCACTATAAACAAATTTTCCATAGTTAGCGTGAGGCCGTGGGTTAATTGTTGGTTCATAGTAAATTGGGGGTCCATTGTTAACCGAGTAATCATGTTTTTCTGGATGTTTATGGGATACGCCGATTTCATGCGGAGCGGTGGGTTCATGCGTGACGGATGTTGTACAATTAGGCGTGTCAGCCCTGTCGTCTATCACTGTAGATTGTAAGTAAATATCTTTCTTGGCAAACAAGTCATTTATAATGTCAATTCGGTTTCTGTTCAGTACCGCGTGCCAGTCAGGAAATTCATCACGCACTACTTTACCCTTGACAATCAACTTTGCCGGATACGCTATTTTACATTTCTCGGAGTGCTCATAGTTTGACTTCATGTATTTGTAAAGACGATTTCTGGCAATAGAAATCTCTTTAGGGTAGTCCCTATCGATCCCGTAACGGGATCCAGATAACCAATTGACTCTTTTCATTATCAATTCAGTGTCCGGATAATCCCGAAAACACGCAATAATCGGTCTACGCGTTACTCCATCTTGACCTCGCACTGTCCGACCCAATGACCCGAGACGGTGGACTCGTTGAATATACATTCTCTCGAGATCAATGTCAAGCCAGTCAGACAAAAACTCCGTTAACACTTCAAGGCAATTCTCATTTCGCATGTCCGCTAATCCGTAGAAAATTAAATTGTTCCTCCGGCTACGGGCATTATCGTCAATACTGTGATATAATTGTAGTTTTGTAAACTCTAAATGAAGGTTAAGCCGTCTTTCAACTTGATCAAGCTGAGATGTTGTATGATCCAACATTATTATTTATGGTATTTCAGACGTTCCATTATAAAGGCCAATTCGCTCTTAAAAGTAGGACTTTGTTCTATATTTGTTTTGATAAAATAACAGAAATGACCTGATAGAATATTTTATGTAAACAGATTTTTAAGCACATTTTTAAGAGCGACAATTTATCAAATCTTCCTAGAGATTATGATTATGATAATGCAGTTGTTCAGGTTTATACATATATGTATATATAAAAGGTTTATGGGAATACCGGGAAGGTTACCGATACGTGTATTGTATAGATCTATGTAATACATAATAAAGAGCTATTTTAATATGAATTCTTTAATGTTCATGTATAGCGAAATCACAAGACTTGGGTATCGAATATCAAATCGTGAGACGGTTGAAAATGACAAGGTTATTTTTAGACACGATATATATAGCTAAACATACAATATTTAGACTGGGAAGACATGTACTGTACACAGGTGAACGTCGCGTGGCCATGACTTACACTATACCCCTATAATTTTTAAGTCATATTTTTTTTTCATAAAATTTATTTTTGTCAATACCTATGATGTTTGGATGATGTTTAAGGCTTTTGGGTTGTAGAGGGGGAACGGGGTAAGTCATGGCCACGCGACGTTCACCTGTGGTACTATATGAGCCCCGTCATGACAAAACCAACATAATGGGTTTGCGACCAGCATGGATCCAGACCAGTATGCGCATCCGTACAGTCTGATCCGGATCCATGCTGTTCGCTTACCAACCATATAACAAGTAGAGAAACTGATAGCGAACAGCATGGATTCTGATCAGACTGCGCAGATGCGCAGGCTGGTCTGGATCCATGCTGGTCGCAAACGCACTATGTTGGTTTTGTCGTGACGCGGCTCATATGTCTTTTAAGATTACAAAATGAAGAAAAGTCAACAAGAATGTATATGTTTAATTACAGTTCCGTACGTCATTATCCAAGCCATTTCGGATAGTTCATGCATGTACGTGTAACGTTACAAACAAGTTATAAGAAATACAAACTATATGCCTTCCAAAACTTGGGTGTGGGCATAAAACTACGTTAATCTGTAAATTTAATTGTCTGTAAATTAAATTGATACTGTTAAAAACTCTTAAGGGGAGCGTATTTTATTTTCATTATTTTTTAAGAGATTTAAATGTCAGAAAAAGGAATACTATGAAAAATGAAGGGTATTAGATTATATTAAAAATCATAACAATGTCTCGAACAACCCTAAACTTGAGGGCTATCACAAGGGTGGACGCCTAATTAAGTACTAACTAATGGATTCGAACCACAATTTAGGTCACGGCCATGTTTTTAAATGACACTTAACTTTATTGCGATGTTGACTCGAATATGATTAATAAACGTGCGTCACATTTTAACTGAAACAGACCTATATTTAAAAAGCAACAAAAGAATGCATAGAATGAAGCAGTATACAGAATAATGTTAAACAAAATTCTCACCTTTCTCGTTATATAACCACTCTAAACTAAATACATATCTATAAATTAATATTGATTGATAATTCCATAGTATATGTCATCTTTGATTAGCAATTACACAATGAAAAAGCACGTGTTTACAACATCCGTAAATCAATAAACATGATAGAAAAATGATCGTCACGCAACTAGGGCATGTTTACGTTTGTACGTTATTTGTGCTACGGTATAGAACGCTAAACATACTTAACGAGTTTATAATGTAGTAGAATTTTAAGTACACGATGTAATAAGGTATGCCGTTAAACTTGTATGAACCAAGATATGTTGGTCATTGTATAACATAGAACAGAGCAACTGGTTTCATCTGGTTTGTGACACAGATTTTTTAAAGAAATGTATACAGATAGATAATTTATTGACGTATACATGTAGTATACATACAATTGTATAGCATATTCAATGTACATTACAAAAGTTGCCGTTTACAATTTTTTGTTGTTGGAGTATAAACGTTAACAGAATTTAGTACTAAAGAAAGCTTAACTATAATAAAATGTTTACATTCGTGTGGATTTTAAACGTGATAAGATTCCATAAGAACAGCTATTTTACAATGTTTCATAGTCGACACATAATGAATAAACAATAACAATTTTAAATATAACAAGATTGATTTAGCAATACATCGATGCTTTGTAGTATAATATAAATATTCACTCAGACTTTTTTTCAGTACTTAACAATTCAGTCAGTTTGAACATACTTAATTGGTCTTCTGTACTAGTATGGTTTTAATAATGTAAGATATCGTATATCAGAGTGACTATTACATATACAATGACATATAAAATGGAATTCATCTTCTTTCTCATTACTGGCACAATGCTGACATATGCGTTCCTCGCGGGGTATTCTACTAGCACCAAATCTACTTGTTTCAATCATTGACATGTGTATACACGTGTAAAGTTATAATAATAATAATAATAATAATGATAATAATAATAATAATTATAATAATAATAATAATAATAATAATTATAATAATAATAATAATAATAGTAATAATTATAATAATAATAATAATAATAATAAAAGTAATAATTATAATAATAATACATGTAATAATAATAATAATAATAGTAATAATTATAATAATAATAAGATAAAAATTATGACAATACTGATAGTAATAATATTAAGAGCATCGCAAAGACAAGGCAATATACGCTCGAATGAAAATTTGTTTGAGTAATAAAATAGGCAAAAGACCCATTCACGAAACTTCACCAAAACTGATTCTCTTAATTTAATGTCTTTTCTATTAAGGCATGTGACCCATAGGTCAGATTCATTTTTGACCTTAGGAGACTACAATTTGATACTGTTTGCCAGTGTCAAAGTTCTGGGCGTTTATAGTTTACAGTAAAAAAATCCATGATATGTTTAAAAATCTACATAAACTAAGGGACCCCCAGGTTGGGGCCATTTTTCATCCCATGGTCACAAGTTATGTTGCTTTTGTAATGGTCAGCTAAGCAATGCTACATGTAAGCTGTTGGCATTTTAGTTTCACACAATAAAACTTAAATTTATTTTCTATATAAGTCCATATTAACTAGGTGACCCTCGGGGCTGGACAAATATTGACCCAATGGTATCCGTTTTGTGCAGGTCAACTAGGCAATGCTACATGCCAAACATTTAGGGTCTGGACATTGTAGTTTTACAGAAAAAAACTTAAATGTCATTTTCCTTTATAAGTTTATATAAATCAGGTGACCCAACGGGCGAGGCAAATATTAACTCAAAGGGGCTTAATTAATATACGAGGCAAATATTAACTCAAAGGGGCTTAATTAATATAAGTTTTGTGGAGGTCCACAAGACATTGCTACATGTCAAATATCTTAGCTCTGGTCATTGTAGTTTCACAGCAAAGGACTAAAAGATTTTTCCTTTATAAATAAGTCTATGTAAATGAAGTGACCCCCCCCCCCCGGAATATAAGGCCAGTATTGGCACAAGGGGCATAATTAATAATAGTAGTATATAAGAGAGTAGTCCGGAAATATAAATCATTAACGGGCCATAACTCTGTTAAAATCATTAAACTGTAAAGTGACGAAGATATGCTTAACTAAACTTGCTACTTATCGTCCCTGTAAAGTTTGAATGAACTTGCACTAGTAGTTTTTAAGAAGTAGTCCCAACAGATGGACATACCTCAAAAAAGTGGTCCTTTCAGTAAGTTGTAGCTACTTTGTAGCATGTAGCAGCTTATATTTGAAGAGTAGTCCGGAGAAGTTTTGTGACGGACGGACAGACGACGGAGAAGTGATATCTAATGTCGCCGCAATTTAACTCTGTAGCAAGCGACACAAAAATTCAAATCATTCTTTTCTTTGCCTCCTATGACAGATTATTTTACAATTACCGTATTTTTAAGTTTTTGCCTCAGAAAATGTTAATTTGATACATTTTATGTAACTTGTAAAATATACATTTATATTAATTAACCTGCTGAATATAATATGATATATTATATTATGTACCGGTACAGTATATACATGCATATTACAAAATAATAAAATAAATACCAAAATTTTGCACTCTTTTCCAGTTCTGGATAATTCAATAGGTTTATCTGTCATGTAAATCCCATGAAAACTGTGTGCATTTTCATTTAACTTACGATGGTTTGATTACAGTAGCTACCCAGCAAACACAAGTCGTCATACTGACGTCAGATTTAAGTCAGGTTCTGACGTCGGATGACGGTCGGGAAAACGGTTGGATTTGAAAGTTTTTTTGACGTAATAATCTGACGTCAGGTACACGTCAGAATCTAACCATTATTTAACCTTTTTCTGACCAAAATCTGACCATTATCTAACCATTTTCCGACCTCAATCTGACCATTTTCCGACCTCAATCTGACCATTTTCCGACCTAAATCTAACCAGTTTCTAACCATTTTCCGACCTCAATCTGACCATTTTCCGACCTAAATATTAACCCTTTTCTGCCCTAAATATGATCATTTTCTGGCCTTCATCTTATCATTCCCCTAATCCTTTTTGTTTCACCACGTCATAAATATTTTCTGGCTAATCCTGATTTGATCTAATTTAATGTAACTCATTCTATTAAGAAACTTTCCCTCAAATGAAATGTATAACAGAAAACTAAAAGCAAAATATGTTTCGTGCTTTTTTAATTTAAGATAAAAGTTGCAATTTTAAGCTGATACATACAATTTTAGTAAATTCTGCAAGGTTAAATAATTTTCATAAATTAAACAAAATAAAACATAAAAAAAGTTAATTACAAAACAAAAAGTATTACAAAAACAATGACATAAATGAAACTAAGAAAACATGTACAAATATTAAAGAACAAAACAATGTATGCACATTTCTATCAAAGTTTGCCTTATCAAATAAAACAATGAAAATATTATAATTTTAATTAAAGTTAAAAGATTCTGATAATAATGTTTCAAGCAATTAATGACAGATTTTCAGTACTTTAACTATATTTCTACAGCATTTCTAAAACATTTAGTGCCATTTTGCATATTTTGACCTCCTTTGATAATTGTCAGTAATGTATAAATTGCTGCCTTTTAGTTACTTCACAAAGTTATACTTTTAGATATCCATGAGAATTAGCACGAATTTTGAGGTGTGATGCTTTAAGATATGACCTTCTTTCAGCACCCCTCATCTGTCCGGAGGATATGTAGCGTTTGTAGCGCCCAATAGCGTGTGTGACATCATTTTCACTAAAAAAAAAAAAAGAAATTTATGAAACATGTAAAAATAACAAGCAAAAATGTTTTCATGGTTATCTTAACTTAATGAACAATTTTGCCAACTTTTTATAAGAGAGCTTTAACAAAAATTAAAAGTAAACATAAATACTGAACATTTAAAAAGCCGCTTTTAAACTCCAGTTTAGTATGGATTAAAGTATGTAATAGAATTTACAAAAATCTTACTTTCATATGTTTCTTTTTACATATTCACGTGTTTCCGTCCCTCCGACCTTTGAGAGCATGTCCAACACTTTAACTACCTGAAAAGAAAATTATATTCTAACTTATGTATATATTCTACGTTTGAAATAGAACAGTTACGCAAGTCTAAAATATTTCATAGTTTTAAATTAAAGATTTAATGCCGAAATGTCTGGAACCAAAACGTCTTGCGTTATTTGGGACCGGAACGTTTTGGGTTATTTGGGACCAAAACGTCTTGGTCCGAAATGCTCGAAATCGTACAAATTCATTCTCAATTCTCAGATTTTAACTGACAAAAACATCACAGTTTAAGAAAAATATGAAAACTAAGCATTCTCTTTGGTAGTACTGAAAGGCATATTATAAACTCTTCACAAGCAGAGTTAAAACATGTCAATTTTAAAAAGATTTATTATTAGACATTATCGCGAATTTGTGTGACATTTTACTTCAGCTGTTCAAATAATGATAATTAAATTTAAGAGTGCTTGCAATCATGCAATTATTTATCAAATACAAAGTAGAAATCAATCTAAATAAATTGAACTGACCTTTTTGTTCAAGAAAACCTATAATATTCACTTATCAATGCATCCCGATTCCTGACCGACAGCCAAAACGTAACGCCTACGAATTTGAATTTCCATCCACGTGACTTTAGATTCGAATTAAAGGTTAATTATGTTTTCTTTCCCTTTTCTGTCACTATGATTAAATGTTAAAGCACTATTAAAAACTCGTCATTTTGATACATATAATATACCACAAATGATAATATTACAACGTTAAATGATTGGAACTTGTAAACAGATCTGTAGCTATAAATAGATTTTATAACAATAACACATGTAACTTGCGTATATACAGCGCCACCTTTATGTTTTATTAGGTTGCAGCGCCGCGATCTTGGTCTGTATTCATATAAGAACACTTCATTTGTAATCCAAATAACATTTGAAAAAAAGTTTAAATGATTACAACAGCGAATAAGGATTATTTTTTGTTATTTTTTTACCTACCGTCAGGACACCGACCATAACCTGACGTTAGTACGACGTCAAAAAGAAACGTCTATTAGACATCGGTATTTTAACGTCAGATTTACGTCGTATTTTGGTCGCCGACGTCGTGACCAAAATCTAACATTAATCCGACGTTATTTTAACGTCATGTGTTTGCTGGGTAAGAGCTTGGTATATTTGAGGGGTTTGCTGCTTTCTGTAATTAGAATAATAGACAGTTGCTTCAGTCGGAATATGTCTGCATATTATTTACAGACCTGGTGACCTTTTTAAAACCTTGTTCGCTACACTCTTTTGGCTTTCAAATCGTCACCAGGTCTGTAAATTCTATGCAGACCTATTCCTCGTACGGTATATATTAACTAAAATTTTTAATCTACCAATTGTCATAGGTGCGCAGTAGTTAATTTCAGCTAAATTTAAGGAAATGTTGGAACTACTGGAAGTTTAAGTGCAGTTTACAAGAAGCAGCACCGGTGGTAGGAAGAATATAATTCTAGACAACACTACCGATTATTAAAACATCAACATGGTCTGTGTATTATTTCAGATAGAACGGGCATATGTGTGTAACACCAACGTCGGTATTCCGGTAGGTAAACAAAAAAATGCGACTTTTGGGCATCTATCTTGTACGAGAGATTGTCAAGTGGTTCTGAGGTAAAGACATCTAATTACAAAACCTTAACAAGAAACATGGCAATGCCATGAAACCAGGTTTTCAATTATTACCATTGTAGATAAATATGTTGTATTTGAAATACAAATACGAGCAACAAACAATGTAACTATGTGCAATGTAAAACATGAATAATGTAGGAGGAATTGCCAAAGAAGAAGTGTTCACTATAAATTCTGTATAAGGAAAAAAAACAAAGGGCCATAATTAGGTAAAAAATTATCCAATCACAAAACCCCGACAATATGCACCAGGGCACTTGTGAAAGTTTGAACAAAATCCGTTGAGAAATGTAGGAGGAGTTCAGAACAGAAGAATTTGTTCACTATATATTGATAATTCTGTATAAGGAAAAAAACGAAGGGCCATAATTAGGTCAAATATTATCCAATCACAAAACCCTGACAATATGCGCCAGGGCACTTGATAACAAAGCTTCTGTTAAAGTTTGGTCAAAATCCGTTGAGAAATGTAGGAGAAGTTGCGCACGGTAGAAATTGTTCACTATATAATCTGTATAAGGAAAAAAACAAAGGGCCATAATTAGGTCAAATATTATCCAATCACAAAACCCTGACAACATGCGCCAGGGCACTTGATAACAAAGCTTCTGTTAAAGTTTGGTCAAAATCCGTTGAGAAATGTAGAAGTTGCGCACGGTAGAAATTGTTCACTATATAATCTGTATAAGGAAGAAAAACAAAGGGCCATAATTAGGTCAAATATTATCCAATCACAAAACACCGACACTATGTGCCAGGGCACTTGATGACAAAGCTTCTGTGAAAGTTTGGTCAAAATCCGTTGAGAAATGTAGGAGGAGTTCAGCACAGAAGAAATTGTTCACTATATATTCTATATAAGAAAAAAAAACAAAGGGCCATAATTAGGTCAAATATTATCAAATCGCAAAACCCTGACAATATGCCCCAGGGCACTTGATGACAAAGCTTCTGTGAAAGATTGGTCAAAATCCGTTGAGAATTGGAGGAGGAGTTGCGCACAGAAGAATATGTTCACTATATATTCTATATAAGGAAAAAAACAAAGGGCCATAATTAGGTCAAATATTATCCAATCGCAAAACCCAGACAATATGCGTCAGGGCACTTGATCACATAGCTTCTGTGAAAGTGTGGTCAAAATCCATTGAGAAATGTAGAAGGAGTTGCGCACAGAAGAAATTGTTTACACCCGCCCGCCCGTCCGCCCGCCCGCCGACATACCTCAATCTAATAACCAGTTTTTTCCTTCAGAAAACCTGGTTAATAAAAAATCTTGATAAAGTATGATCCTTCGGAAACATAAATCGCAACAAAATTTACATGAAAATTGCAACTCGATTTGATTGAGTCTGTACATGAGGGATAATAAATAATTGCAATATCCCTCACGCCCCCAGCACCGGCTTGAGCAGTACTCACTTTTCAACACTTAAAAAGTGCTGGAATCAATGATCCCGAAGGACCAGAAAAATATTAAAATGAAGACTTAATAAGTTATCTGACAATATAAACTATTTTCAACCAAAGTTATGAGTAATTATCGAAAAACAGGAGTGGATGCATAATACGTGCGTTTTTAATAATGGAACATATTAGAATGATTCGGGTTAATAAAATGTAAAAAAAAACATCATACCTTTCCTGGTTGTAGTATTACAATAACTAGTTTTACCGAACTAGTTATCTGAAAGCTAGGTTCATTTTGTAAACGTTTGCCAAAACTTGGTAAAGTCAAGTCATATTTAATATACAAGTTTAATAAATAGGTTAAATCAATCTCATAACAATTTATAACTTCCCAAAATGTACAGACAATAATTATAATATTGCACCATAGAGAAGATATACAAAAATACTTTTAACAAACATACACTGTAAATAGTAACAGAGTCAAACATCTACCAACAATAGAAAAGATAAAACATTGTTGTTTCCATGGTAGATAATATATTCAATGTACAAGAATTTTGTTGTTTGATTCACGTTAAAATACCTGATATATAATAATTCGTGTAAAATATAAGTTTCTATAAAACACGTATTGGCACCACGTGGCTTTTCAGTCCTTGAAAGAACTGGTATCTAGTTCACTTCTTGGAATTCCCCGTGTTACAAACACTTTTGTTGAGATTCAGTGCTGGTGTTGTAGAAGTCTTCCTTTGTGTTGTGCCACTGGGAACCCCCCGTTTGTCTTTTGTTACAGGTTTCATCGCCTGATCACTAGGTCCCTGTGATATTTTAGATGCTCGATTATGTACCGACTGTCTTTGTGGAGTTTGGACACGTTTCACGTCTTGTGTATTTGAACCTAATCGTGCAGGCTTCTTTGTAGATGTAGATCCAGTATTTTCAGTCGTCTTGTCTATTACGCCTGTTTCATCTGTTATTCCAAGTTCTTTGTTAATTACTGCATGCTCTTCTTTCACCAATTTTCTAAGTTCATCCTGAAATGTATATTGCAAATGATCAGTAAAACAATGGCTTTAAAGCATCTATGAAATGAAATGTTAACATATAGAAGAAATATGTTGAAATTACAAAAATACACACCCCCGCAAAAAAAGGAAGAAGAAAACAGAAAAAACACATGCACATAGCGTGCTGAACCTAATTTAACTACCATTTCTTAGATAAAGTGATTTTAGCAACGTTAAAGAGATAAAATGTGTGGGAGTAGAATCTGGGATGCTTATCAGTAATTCAGGTATATAGAATGTAAATCAAATTGTATATTCATGGACAATTAGAAAATATTTGAGTTACTTACTCCCCAACCCATAATATCTGCCAGGGCAAAGCAGCCTTCGTCACACTTTCCTTTCCAGAATACATCTCTGAAAGTCGTACAATTTCTAGTATAAGGTAAAATATCAAGACACGTGATATTGTTATGCTATAGGACGACGTCATGGAAGACCCACCAAGATTCCTTGTATTACCTGAATATCTTCTCAAAAACAGAACCAATGGCGTTAGATGAGAAATGATTATAAGTCAGCAATTTTATTACCAGTCGCCCACAAATACCAAAACAATGGAACATATCAAATAACTTGTCTCCCATTTGATTACAAAAGTTAACTGAACATTTTTTTTGAAACTTTAAATATTTCTTTTCTTTTTCTTTAAATTCAGTAGCTCTCGTATAACTATAGTTTATGCAAAGATGTACTCATTATTCATTCATTGATATGTGATTTATATTCGAATTTCAATTTTGACAATAAAAAAGATTGGAAATGCCTTTTATGAAAGCTCTTTTAACCAATTTGCTGTTTAGTTGTTTTTAGTCACTGTGGCGCTGTAAAGGTTATATGAGTTTTCAGTTGTGCTAGTGGAATACGGGGTGGAGGGGAAATATGTCACTTTTTTCTTACATAATTTTGGGTACGAGCAGGTACCTGAGTAGAACTACAGGCCTTCAGTAAGCTATCTCAATAGTTTCATCACATGAACTAATTAGAAGTCATTTGAGGGTTTCGATGAAGTGCGTATTATATACACAATTATGATAATATTTATTTGGAAATAAGAAAGGATCACCTTATGTTGTCCTCATTTTCAAAATCGAACCCTCCACCAAAAAATAACGCAGATATTGGATGCTTTGCCTGAAAATGTATAAGTTGATAAAACGTTAATTAGTTTTCATTAGCGCTTAACATGCTGAATATGTTTTGATTGATTTGTCCAGCTTTAATATTTGAACATTTCATTCAAAGTTAAAGTTATCTAATTTAAAAATAGCTACCAAGATAATAGTTTTAACAGACTACATGGAAGTGCAGGCTCACCTGGCTCTATACTGGTGGTAAAGGAAAATCACATTGATTCTAACAGGCTAAGGGTTGACAATAAGTATGAACCACAAATAAACTTTTTTCACACGGTTCTTGTTTATAATATTTAACTAAATTATAGCTGAAATAGTCGATAAAGGTATTGTATATCTTACACCCTTAAATATATTGCTAAATTTCAAGTACAACACTTTTAAAATATATTAGTGCAGAAAATAACCCCACTCAAACAAGAAAGAAAAAAGTTCAGTCAATGTTTGTAATAATTGTTATTTAACCACTTTGGACTTACAAACAACATTTCATATTCTCTGCCAAGAAAATTTCGCTTGTATTAATCAAAATTGCTTAAGAACATTAAAATATCTATTAAGCCTCCACCCCCAAGACTGATGGACAATAATACTGTTTTTGTGTATGTAGAAACATAAATTATAAAATAAATCCCGATGAAATAAAATTAAATTCACATTGCATTATTTCTGCTTTGACTAGACAACAAAAAGTCTTACCACTCGTATACTTTCAAGGTTGATAAAAAGTCTTGGCACATTATCTTTGGTTCTGAAAAAACACAGATAAAACATAATGCGTAATGCATAAAGATTGAAGATAATTTTGTTTTAGAAATACCTCTAGATAAACATAAATGAATAAACCTCATCAAATAATAAGCGCCATAAACATTTCCCATTGTCACATAAACTAAATGGTTCCTGGATACACATCCGGTTGGTCTAACTTTTAAAATTTTGTATCTTTACCACACTTAAATCTTAAATGGACGTGCCCGTTTTTTTAATTCGGACAAAACCATTCATTAAGCGACCAGTGCAGACTATGATCAAACCGCACAAATGTGCCTGCTGATATTGGTCTGCAATGGTCACATGCCGCTAGTAGACTATGGATTTTAAGTAACCATTACCAGCAAAAGACAGAGCACACTGATAGTTCCGGGTTAATATTCAAGTTGAGATATCACAATATTGAGAATCTTATAGTGGTGGTTGGAAAAATTTTCTATTAATTATACGAAGGAATTTGGAAGGCTGGTTAAAAACAATCCAGATCGGATATGCATGTACATTGTTTATGCAAATTCTGTCATTGATGCAATAATAATGTTAGTAATATAAAATTCTTATGTATTATAAGTCAAACAAATAGTCAACTTACAAAATATAGAGCAATATAATGATATGCTTTCTTTATTTCTTGTTAACTAACTGATAATGTGAGACAAGTGATTCTATACCTGATAGGTAGATTAGAAAACGGTCTAACAGCTAGAGATGTTCCCATGATCAACAACATATCACAGTCATCAATATCCTATAACAATAAAACTTAAATATTCATTTGTGTTTTTATTTAAAGCCAAATTCATAAAAGATACAGCTTTATAGCTTTCTGCCAAATCCTAAAATATATTTTGTAAATGTTGTTCACATGTTTAATGTTATGTTGAATAACTACATGTATGTTTAAACCAAAAGATCTAGTATGCAGATTGCCTAGCCTCACAAAATAAGGGAAATATAGATTCATAACGTAACAGGTTACTATTTCAATTACAGTTTGTAGTTGCAAATAAACATTTTGTTAATTTGGATGTTACTTATGCTCAAACAATAACTTGACAAAGTCTGAAATCATTTATTATTGCCGGTGCAATCAGTACAGCTACATATCAGACAAAATAATACAGACCGAATTCTCCAAACCGGAGAAAAAACAATAACAATTTGTTCATGTTTTAAATAAAGCACACATTTGGTTAATTTGAAAGTTATCACTTGAAAATGTATGGTATGAAATGTTGATTTACAGAGATACATTACATTCTTGGTACATACATGTATAATATTTCGTATATTATGAGTCAAAAGATAAAAAAAACTTACAGATAAATGCTCTGCAAATCGTTCTGGCAAATTCTCTCCAAACATAACAATTTCTGGTAGAAGAAATAAAAGTTTATTTATGTTGGTTTATAATATAGGTAAAATACATGTACAAGTAAAACTGTTCATGATTCTGAAAACAATACTGAGCTAATGCGCAGGGCGATATTTTACGACCGCCACACAGCAGTTTAAGGAAATAAAATAACAAATCAGGTAGATGTAATTATATAAATGGGAAACAAAGGTCTGTTTCATTATAACCACTATATTTTACAGCGTTCCTACATAACATATTCTATAATAGTTTGATGTACTTACTCGGTCTAACAATTCCTCGACACGATTCGTTAGCACATCTTGGAACAGGGCCCTCTGGTCCATAGATTTTGTCTATCAAAAATAAAATTAGAACATTTCATCGAACTTCAATTAGATGTACATTGTATATCATATTTAAGCTGTTTTAAATTTCCTTTAAAGCATGAAAAATGTTGAAATTATACCATTCAAATGTTAAAATATAGGTTTGAAACTAGGTTAAATCAAGAAACTGAAAATACGAGTAAAGAGAATGTGGTAGCGATTTCTAAAAATATTACAGCAAAACTCAAAACTTTAGACAATGATATCAAAAACAGATGAGTTAAGATAAAAACACGTATAAAAGTAACCAAATATGCTTGCTATAACCTTTATTTATCAAAGTGTTAACGTATGCCAAAAGTATGAACTATTTAATATGCTGAAATAGTTTGATATTCATACGCCAGTAGTCCGACTAGAACGGTGGAAAAATGTCAAGTTTTGAAACGCATGAACGAAAAGCAGCTGCGCTCAGACTCAGCTGGTAAACTATGAGATGTTCATTACTATATACAATGTATATGTAAAGACAAGAATGACAAATACTTCATTAATCTGACCTCTAACCCATTTCTGTGTGTATGTTTGTCCGCAATCCATGCAGTAAGAGTGGTTAATTGTACCGTGCGCCTGAATAAGTTTGTCCTCACTTATACCTGCTAACATTTCCAAGCCATCGATGTTCTACAATAACAAGTGTGAGTCTGTCACAAAGTCTTTACCAACAAAAATTATGATTTGGTAAACTGAACGCGGAGTTTGTACGATCAAGGCGAGGAACATTTTTGTATACGAATGTTTCAATGGTTCAGTCATATGTCATGCAAATTAGCAGACAATATGTTTGTTTTATTGTGAAATGATTTTTGTAAAGAATTAAATGAAGTTGCGCCAACCTGATAATGCTTCCGGCAATGGCCATCATCAATATACAAAATGTATAATAATTTGAAGAATAGAATTAAAAATCCATAACAAACGAATAAAACAACCTAACCTAAAACAGGCCGAAATATGTTATTTATGGATGTAACAGAAACATGACAAACATAAACTGACAAAGAACATGCTTAAATCATACATAAAGAACAATTGTGTTTATTTCATAACTAGGAGTTTATGTTAAAATACAATGGTATTAAAATAACAATTCATTGCTGTTAAAGGAGTTGGTGTTTTCGTTTTCATTCTTTATTACCTGTGTGAAATGGCGGAGTAGTTTGTTTTTGTTCTCCAGCATTCGAATGAAGTAATGACAAGGTGTTGGCTGAAAAATAAAAGGATTAGAACATTGTTCTCCATGCTCTTATCCCAAATTAATAAAAAAAATGAAAGTATTCCCATTATAAACAACAACAACAGCAACAACAACAACAACTAACAAATAATACCAAGTAAAGATATGCACACATCTATATTATTTTGTAAATTGTCTACATGTTATTTAAGGCCCGGTCACACAGCCCTCCACGGGCGTATCGCGGCCGAATAACGGCCAAAAATTTCTGCCCGTGAAGCAGACGCTGTTGGACGCTTTGAGGTCGCGATAAAGACGCGATACAGCCGTACTTTACCCGTCGTTACACGCGGTAAGAAATTCACACGCGGTTGACCGCGCGAAAAAGTTTTGGGCTGCCCAAAAATTTAGACCACGGGTAATCGCGGGCGGTACACGTGGTACACACGCGGTAAAGACGAGGTACAGACGCGGAACGAACGTGCTAGGACGTGCTACGGCCGCGGTTAAGACGTGGTTACACGCGGTAGGACGCAAAATTTTAGCGGGTAATCGCGGGTGGAGCACGGTCATAGCACGTTTGTTCCGCGTCTGTACCGCGTTGTTATCACGTGCATTAGCGTGTGTACCGCGTGTAAGCACGGACAAACGCCTTTCTCCGCGTAAACAGCGCGCCCCAATACCGGCCTTATCATGTTCAATTGCGTCTTGTACACGTCCCAAATACGATTGTCCACGGCCTAATCGTGTCCGTACAACGTCTGATTTTAGGAATATAAAAAGCGCGATTTGCCAAGCATTCGTCAGTTGTGCTCCAGACGTCAAGGGGTGAACATGGATCCCCGTCACCGTAATGACCTCGTCTTGCTGCTCCAGCAGCATCAGAACCAAGTGGTACAGGTCCATCAGCTCCTCATTGGCAGAAGAAGACGAAGGAGGAGGGTGGCCCGGAACATCTGGGTGCGCGACTGGATTGGCAGGAGACCTGAGCTGGGGCTGTACGATCGTCTCATGGTGGAGCTCCGTAATGAAGATCCAAGGGGCTTCCAGAACTTCATGAGAATGCCACCTGCCATGTTCGAAGAAATTGTGCAGAAACTGACACCAGCCCTTACCAAGGAGACCACAAACTGGCGAGCACCCCTTGAACCAGGCCTGAAGGTTGCCCTCACCCTGAGGCACCTTGCTTCTGGTGCCAAGTACCGTGAGATGCAGTATGGCTGGAGGGTCCCTCACAACACCATCAGTCTGGTGTTGCGCGAAGTGTGTGCGGCCATCGACGAGGAGTTCCGTGATGAGCAGCTCGCGCCACCACAGACTGCTGCAGAGTGGCGTCAGATTAGTGACAATTGGATGAACAGTTTCCGCATGTCATTGGTGCAATAGACGGCAAGCACATTGCTTGTAAATCTCCTGCCAACACTTGGTCCGACTACTTCAACTACAAGGGTTTCTTCAGTGTCATCCTCCTGGCAGTCGTCGCATCTGACTACAAGTTCCTCTGGATAGACGTCAGCGGCAAGGGGTCTTCGTCTGATGCCCACATCTACAATGCAAGTGATCCAGAATAGCCCGGTTCGGCTGCTTTATTATACCCGTGGTAGGCCGCGGTACCGCCGCGCTTCACCCGCGATAAGGACGCGGAACAGTCGCCGGCGACTGTTCCGCGGGCATACCACGGGTAAACCGCGGGTAAGCCAATTTTGCACATTTTCCACCACGGGCAACCGCGGGCAAAAAGAAATCGCGAAATTTTACCCGCGATACAGACGCGAAAGGCTGTGTGACCGGGCCTTTACCAAGTTCTGCCTTTTAAAATTGTTTACCCCGAGCAACTCTTATACAATATATAAAACCTGAAAAGGATGTAAGACTAAATTCGATGAAATAAATTGTTAAAGAATACTAAAAAGGACTGTTTTTTATCTACAAATATGTAAAGTAATTCCAAACAGGTATTTTGCATCAAAATATCAGTTTATCTTTCCTTTAAAAGTCGAAGTACTAGAATACCTTGTAAGTTCCTTTCCATATGTCTTTTCTGTATTTATAATATGGCTCCGGATTGCCCTGTAAAAATGGAAGACCGTTGGAAGAAATCATTGGCAAAACCATATATAATTTATTTGTTATATACAAATATTTACATAATTACAACAAAACATTAAAAATGGCAAAGATGGCTTAAACATGCCATAAACTCACCACACAAACGCGCGAGTAAAAAGATATGTTTGACTTGTTTTTTTTAGTATATGGCGAACAAAAGTATATATTTTACATTTTTACTAAAACATATCATCAACAAATTATTTAAATACCTTGAAATATGAGTATTCAAACAGCTTTTGAGGATTTTCTATATTATATTCTTTCTTCAACTGTTCATAGCACCCTGTGTTCGGGGACCGGAAGTCCGGAATTCCTGCAGCTATAACAAATTAAAAAACTGTCTGTTATGTCTTAGATATAACATAACCATGTTTTTATAAAGCAACGTCTAAAGTAAGTACAATAATATTGTATTTTAAAAAAAAAACTCCACTAAAGTTACTTACTTCTTAAAGATGAATTTGTAATCTTCTAATAATATCTTACATAGTTCTGCAAATTCAATCAACCAAAAATTGACACACATGTATGTTTTTCTGAAGATAATATTAACATAAACGTAACCTTTTCTTTAAGGAGGCACTAAAAAATAAAACGTTATTATCCCCTATCCCACTCCACCACAAAAAAGAAAACTAATAACATACATGTAGATATTCCAGCACCAGTCATGACCACAATCTTGTTGCATTTGTCACTGGCAATGTATCTAGCTATTCCCTCAAAACTTACTTCGTCCAGTAAACACTCCGGGGGATCCTCGAACAATATACCCAATGACTTGGCAAAATACCGTCTCATCCATACCACTGCAAAACAATGTGCATGTACATCTTATTATGGGAGAATTAAGACCCTCATAACGATAAATAGATACATAAATGAGCCATTTAGTTAGTTTATAAACTATTATGTTTTAGTTTGATTGTGTTGGAAGCTATAAGCTTATTAAAACACTTTCTGGAACCAGCCAGTACTAAGCAATGAGTATTAAGTTTTGCTCACGTAAACAACGGTTTAATTGCCCCTAACGGAGTTTGAACCAACTTCCACTACAACAACAAGCTGCTGCTGCTACTTCTACTAAAATTAATATATTCACAGATCGATAAGCTTATACGCAATCGAACTAAAATAAATTACGATAAACCAATACTTCATAAAATCTTAAATATTTTCAAGGAATACGTAACTTTATTCATATTGAAAAATCGGTCGTTATTGTTAAAACATGTACGTTCAGAAATGTGAAAGTGAAACATTTTTCTGTTATTTAGACGTGTTCTGTCATCCCAGGTGTTTATTAATGCATGTTTGACTGTATTTATAAATTTTATTCTTAATTGCACAAAAGAAACTAACTCTGGGGGTCTTCGGTATCTACTGGAGTTTCTGTAGAAACGTTTGTCTTGTCTGTTAGATCAGCATTCTCATCTACACCATCAGAAAGTTTTTGTTCCGGGTCTTCAACAGATTGTGTCTTATCTTTTAAATCCTCCGTGTTTTCAGGGTCCGGTTTAGAGCTAGCCATGTTAATTTAAATGTTATTCTCTTTGGTAATTTTGTGATTACACTAATCTGGAAACAAAAATGAAAGAAAAATACTCCAACTGTATAAATCTGACCATATCTTTATTCGTTTATTGTTTAGTACACGGTTAGTGATAAAAATCGTAAAATATTTCAAACTGTACTTAAAAGTAATTACATTTATACATACATGTTTATAATGCAATAGTAACGCGTAAGAAACTAACCTTTTTCTAAATTGTTTTTACCACAACTGTTGATTAATCCGGTCCTGTTTTCAATTGTCTTACATGTGTGAACATACATAGTAGTTTTTAAACATATAAATCAAATAAATGATTACATTTCTAAATATAGAATTTTCAACACACCAAACGATTGTAAACAACTGTAAAATCCCCCACTGATCGATAATACAAATGATCGGGTATTTAAAGGGGGAAAACATTTTGTATCCTTATCCGATTAATATTGATTTAGTTTATCAATATTGATTTAGTTTATCCATATTGATTTATAATTTGGATGAGTCATAATATAAGAGCAATTGTATTGGTCAAGAACAGTACATAATGCAGGGAAAATGCAGTGGCTTAAAGGGAATATCAGAATAGTTTAATTTACCAACCAAATGACGGGTTTTGCCTTCTCAGCCTATTCTCTGATTAAATCAAATTAAATTAGCGTCTAAGTAAAGTTAAAGTGGAGTAATTTTCCAAACGTTATATAATGAGGCCCGTGACAACCGCCAATAATTAACAAGACTGATTTCTCGCTGGATTTTTCAGATAGAATTTTCCAGTCTCTAGTCTCAAGGAAAAAAAAACCCAACCAATTCTGGAGAATAACAGTTTAAGTTCACCGTTTTGGGTTGGCCTTAGTTTGCAACTTTGTAATTGTATTTGTACATGTTTAACGTAACAAAGACAACAACACTATTGCACGCATTTACAGTGTGAGTAGTTTATTTCATTTACAGATCCAAGCGATTATATCAAACAAGAAATTCGTTTAATTCATTTTTAACTCGCAGTGACGTGTTAACGACATATGCCGAATATCCAGCTTTACTGTCGGATTTCATCGTGCCCCAGTCACCCGTGCATTATTTCAAGCACAATGCGGCATCTGAGTAGAACCACCGGCGTCCATACGCTAGTTAGATAGTTTCCTCACGTGGAAGAATTAGTCCAAGAGATGGCGGGATTTTATTGTTATTTAACGTATCACCAAAAGAAACATTGCCATAATAAAGTATATTGTTTGTAGTTTCTAAAAACCCATTTCTTAAGTTACGCAGCCCGGGCAAAAATATGAAAATTCAAGATGGCCGCCAATATGGCCGCCATAAATTACAAAATACCATATAATTTTTGTTTCTTGATTTTTTACATACGTATTTTGTACAATGTAGTTTTAATTGCACAATATCAGGTAAAATATGCCTACTTTATGATTCAATCAAGCAGAAATGACAATTATATGGCAAACTTTAAAATTATCACTATCAATTTACCAAAAAAAGTGGTAAAAAATAGCATTTTTTGACAAAATGATGACTTTCGTTTTTCCGTATTTAAACAATATAAATGGAATTGCATTGAAATTGTGTGTACTTTATCAATTTAACATAGCTAGACAAGTTAAGCATAAAAAATCATATCATGAGTATTTATGAGTATATCTGAGTATTTATGATGTAAGAGTAGAGCTTCAAAAGTGGGTGGGGTAAAATTACCGAAAAAAATATTCAAAATTACAATGTTCCCAAAACATGCATTTACATTATAATTTCAGTTTAATGTATATGATATTGTGTTTAAATTAAATGTTATTTGTCATTTGAACATTTCTTGATAAGTTAAGCATAAAATTTCATTACCAGATCATTTATCACAGAGGAGTACAGCTTCAAAAGTGGGTGGGGTAAAATAACAGAGAAAGAAAGAGGAAAAAAAGAAGAAAAAAGTTCACAATTATTAAGCTTTTAAAACTTTTCTGTACTTTACAATTTTAGTGTTTTTATCATGTAATTGAATTTTGTGATAAGAAATATAAAGATTGTATTACATTAAAGAAGAAAGAAACATCATGACAAAGCAATTTAAAATTATTACAAAAAAATGGTACCGAAACACATTTTTGAGATTTTGTTGCCTTAAGATATATCGTAGAATGAAATAATGTCATAGGTGTCTGTCTTTTATCAGTTGATTATAGCTTGACAAGTCACCTCAACCATTTAATATAATAAACTTGCTTCTTTTGTTCTATAATATATGTCCAACAATTATGTGATGGCATTTTATATGTTTTGAAAACAAAAATATTGTATAGATATATACTTTTTTGAAAAGATTTGTTTATAATGTTCTTTCAGCAAAATTTGTAAAATTGATATTCAATCTCATTACATTTTAATATAAACTTTAGTTTTGGTTGACACGTCATCAGTATTATTTTAACTTTGACTACTTTATTATCTTAAACATGAAAGAAAAGAGAAATGGTTATTGTCATTGGTAAAATGAGCATTTATTAATGAATGTTGTGCAAATAGCATACTGAATAAAATCACAGTCATGGAAAATTGCAATAGTGGATAGCAAAAGGTATTTAAGCCTTAATGGACATATCTATTAAATTTAAAAGACAATTTCTGCACAAAAGAAAACAGTCAATTTCAATATTTAAACTAAAAGCAGCATTTTATGCCCCTCTCTTACAAAAAATTGAGAGGAATTATCATTTGTACAGTGCCATCCCTTCTTCCATATTCCTTACTTTGAGTGTGGTCCATACCTTTGCATATTTTGCATACATAAATAGTGCACTGATGGTCATGTCAAGTCAATAATTATGTCATTCCTGGATTGATTTTTGAAATAAATCAATAAAAATGTTTTTTGACATTATATTAATGTGTGACATTCAAAAATCAAGTCAAACTTGTACTTCCATATTCATAATATGATTAATAGATGGCGCTGTCTTTCCAACTACATTGTCATTCATGGATGATTTTTTTACAATTATGCATATTTTTTTTTACATTGATCTGGTGTGTATCACGCAAAAACAAGATGTGTTGCTCAAAGTCACCTCTTAATTTTTCATTTTATGCTTTGATAGTCTTGTCTGGTCAACAATTCTGGGTTACCCAGATGTGTTGCATTTTAAGGTCGAAAAGTAAATAATCAAGTCTCTGGCTCAAAGGTTAAGGTCATAATTGTCAATTGTCATAATTTGTACATAAATTTGTAAATCTTTGATAGATGGAAATATTATGCGTAAAAATGCTGCTTATTAAATGGATAATCGACCTCAAGATGTAAACTTTACTATAATTATGACAATGTTTCCAAATGTATACAATATAATCTGAGAGCTTAGGTTTCTTGCTATGCAGGTAATATGCAAGCATAGTTTTCATAGATAGATTTAGGGCATGATAACAACAACAAAAGAAGGTTAATAAATGCCATATAATTAAGTCAGTCGCTATGTCCATCTGTAGTATGCCTGCCTAGCTCAATGAGAGAGCAATAAGAAATAAAGGAGTCACTTGCTTGATCCTCCGACAAAGTAAATTTCTCTTTGAAAATAAATCTCTCATCGCTTATTCAAATATCATGTGAGGTAAACAGGGGTCACTTGCTCAGAAATTTGCTACTTAATTATCAAGGAAATCCGGTTAGGTGGATCGAAAGCCGAAATAAGACCAAAACATTTGTTATAGAACACCAAATTTATGTTTCGCCCATTGTTTTCTCATTAACACATCCTGATAATTATGGGACCATACGCCACTTTTAATGTACTGACTGAAAAAAGTCAATTTGAGCTTTCCATGATCACCTCCGTATTAACACATCTGCGAATGGTTCAAAATTCAAATTTTACTATTTCATGCTAAAGGTTGAATTATCCTTGTGAAGGTGCTTGGGGTTGTGGACGGTAGTTTGCACTATTAAGTACCATCCATGAACAGGCTCAATAAACCAAGTCTGCAATATTTTCAATTTTACTGTTTATTGGAAGTTCTTTAGGGATTGTATTTTTTCCCTATTCACACCTGTAACTTATGCCAGACTAGCATTGTTTAGAATAAATATGCTCAAAATCGTTCAAGCAAATAGAATGAAAAACGGAAAGCTTTAAGAATACACAATATGGCACACTTACGCTCGTTTCTTCTATGCCTATATTTTGGACAGCAGTGATATATGCAAGCTTCTAACAACGTCCTCCAAGCAAAATTCAGTATTTAAACAAAAATGTAGTGAAATTATAAAACTGAAACTTAAAATTTTCAACATCCGTAGACAAGTTCATAAGACGGTAATAAAGGGATCTTCAATGTAACAATTGCGCCACTCCATCAAAAACAGTATATGGACCCAAATAAAATATAATGCGTGTAGCCTAAATATGAAAATTATGTTGAACTAGATAATTGAATTTTTTAAAATAGGGTTATGAAGTCTTAATATCAGATAAAAGCCACCAAAGGAGAAATCTTAAGTGATGCAACACATCCTTAAGGGTGATATTCAGTATTCACGAAGGAATACTAGAACCACCCAACGGGGAAAAAGTCAAAAAGAAAAAAACTAAAAATATGCAACACAGCAATGTTATTGTGCTGAAAGATTTTCTAGGATCAAAATTATAACATCCTAGATTGATCAAACTGTCAGGAGCTGACGCATCATTTTTGCCATCGTCAGTGCTCAGTGTGATTTTGAAGCATTCATAATATACTGAAATTTGAAATCTTATTTCTGCTGAATAGTGAGACTACACATAACATAGCTAGTTGATCTGAAGGAAACAGCGACTATGTACTTATAAATGTAAATTACAAATAAATGCTGGTCGGTTGCTTTATGTGAAAATTGTTGCTTTTAAATCGACTTTTGTACAGAATGTATTAGTGCATAATTTCAAAATGTATGTATTTCTATGACAAGTATTGATAGCTTAAACATGTTTTAACTATTTGGATGTTTTATGTGCAGTAACATTCACAACTTTTGCTAAACTTATTCATAAATGATTGCTAATTTTATATATTCTTACCTTTGTCAAATTAAAAAATGATGATGTGTTTATATCATATTTCACAACTACACTCTCACAAAATGCATTTCACAGACATCATGTTCTTGATTAATATATAAGTGTGTCTTTTGATGTTCCACTTATTCGTTATCTCTCATGTATAGACTCAATCAAACCGAGTCTGCAATTCTTATGTTATTTTGTTGTGATTAATGCTTCCAAGGGATCACTTTGTTTCCAGAATTTTATACTTCACAACCACAGGTGTCAAGT